CTTGCAAGTTAATTGACGAGCCATCTTTTTCACTTATCGTTTCGCTGACCGTTGCTTTCCTAGGGCCAGTCGATTGTATCAGTTGATATAGGACACGGCTGTTTCCCGAAGTAAAGGCCATCTCCCGAGCTTTCGATGTCCACCACAACTCTCGGTCTTTCCATAGACTCTTCACTAATTAGCGTTTGAGGGATTTGCGCGTGACGTTGTGTTCTTTGCCTACTGGTATGGATTTTCTGGCATCAAACATGGATAGCGACCTCGTTGACATCCAGTGATCTTGTGGTCGAATCAAAGTCTGACAGACAGCACTGAACGTCGCTAACAGCTCCTTTCACATTGTGCAACGCTTCATCCACATGCCCACTGCCACCACAGTGTTGGTCTAATGTGGATAGTTATTGGGCTAGCTAATGATACTGTACAGCTATGGAGGCTGTCCGAATTTGATGGATTGGCATGCTTCTTGCTGACTTCAGATGGCCTGAGAGGGCCTGCACGCACCATGGCGTGATTGGAGTCAAGTTGTGTGCCCCAGTGCGAACGTCAACATTGAATTGTGGCTTTCCACCGGTGACCGATGGCCACGTGATCTAACTGGGTGGATTTGCAGTTGGTGGCCGCCAGGTTACGTGATGCTGAAAGATCGTACTTGCCACAAGCAGTTCATGATCAGCACACAACTGTGAGAATCGCTCTCCGTTGTCTGTGTGGCAAGCATTGACTATGAATCGACAGCCCAAATGTTGTTCCAAAGAGCTCAGACGACCGAGTTGAGTATTCGCATTGCCTGCAAGGATCACAATGTTAGTGCTTTTCCGGATAGCTATCGATAGAAGATATCCCTCTCAGGATCAGAATTGCGGCCTATTGGAGCATAAGCTGGAACTACAAACAGGCACCGCTTTTTATGCCAAGGGGCATTGAGCTTGAGTGAACTGGATAACCGGACGGAGAAAAGACGAGTGTTCACTGGGATCCAATCCAGCAAAGCGTGTTCCGCTGTGGGATTGAGTGGGAATCCCACGCAGTATATTCCAGAACCATCGCTTTTGGGTCACCGGACAAATGGAGGGGGAAATTTGAAAGAGCTTGGCGTTCTGAAGTGCATGGCAACTCTTGGGTCTTGCATGCGTGTTTCGGTAACACTGCATATATCAATTTTCAGAGCATAATGTTTCAGCAAACATCGCCTGCTTTCCAATTTGACATTGCGGACGGACGTTAAAAGCTCGTATATAGAAAGGATATTGTCGATTAAGAAGGGTTTTATTTTCTTCATTGTTAATAGGCAGCGGGGAGCATAAGGCCCTCCGGTCAGATAACTGCCAGTCAAGTGACCCAGTGACGTTTGGTGGGGAGTTTGGGGAGAAACATCGGTGGACACAGAACTGCGCGGGCAAATGATACTTCCTGGTTGCCCATGCCGAGGAGGGGGGTTTGGTTGAGGTACCCCACCTTGAGCCTTTTACTCAAAAGTCTGACCCACAAGGCAGTGGACGATGTAGGGTTTTGTTCGGGGACCTTGCTCCTAGCCTCTGACCTAAAAGTCTGACCCACGAGGCAGCGGACAGTAAGGTTTTTCATTTGAGAACCTTCCCAGAGCCGATGTCCCAATACTCTGACTTGGTCGGCTGCAGGAGGTTGGCCTAATCCATGGTCTCAGGTAACAGGGAATTAGTGTCTCATTCCTGATATGGCTGCATATAGCAGGTGCCTTTTGAGCAGCACTGGGCTCTTCGGTTTTAAAGGTATTTCGACCATGTTGGATAATGCGCCGGCGGTCACGGTCAACAGATGGGCGATCAGAGTGTGCGGTTTTTGGGGCAACCTTGAAGAAGACAACTCAACAACCGTAACAGCATGAACAAACCACCAGAAGGGGTAGTCCTACCTTACATCAAGAATATATCAGAACTTGCAACCAGATTATTGGCTCAAAAAGGAATCATCATGGCCCACAAACCGAATGCCATCCTAAGGAAATTATTCTCTAGACCGAAGGACAACCGAGACAAAATCAAAAGGAACAATGTGTTATACCAAATCAACTGCAACAACTAGAACAAATTCTTCGTTGGAAAAACTGAGGGGGAATTATGTACACGAATAAACGAACACAACGCGGCTGTCAGGAGGCATGACCCTCCGTTCTTGACATCTATACACGAGGACCAAGAGGCCACAAATTCAATCTGGAAAGCACAAAAATTTAGCACACGGAGACAAGCGACACGGAAAAGAATTTCTGGAAGCATGGTACTCCACGGAAGATTTGATCAACCGGTGCATCGAACTGGATCCATTTTACGCACCTGTACATGCAAAAGATCAAAATCTCAACCGGGACATTCAAGGAGGACCGAATATTGGATTCACAAACAAAGAAACAAGGAACTCCTCGGAGTTGAATCAACGAAGGTCACATGCCGGGACTCGGAAGGACAAAGGTCACTCCAACATCAACCAGATTGCGACGGCGGGGGATGCCAGGTTCAAAGGTCACGTGGGTATCGGTGAATGAGGACACGGGATAACAAAGAAACCAATGGAACCGCCCGACCGAACAACTAACCCCTGTCAAAGGTCATCCCCGGCTAACAGCACGTATATTACCACACACGTAACACTACTCAACGCACAACCACTAACCCACCGCTACGCATCACTACGCTTCCCAATAACGCACAGATAATGTCACCTCGTTTGGCGATGAAACGTTTGCAATCCAGTTGCCCAGCTCAGCGGACAAGTCAACGGCCATCTGCCCTACCTGAGCTACCAACATTTTCCTGCATAGAAAACAGTACGACTTTCCCCCAGACCGCCTAGTAGCAGGGTTGCATGTAGTGCGGGGTTTCGCTGCTTTCTGTCTGACTTTGGCTTTCCTTGAATGGTTGCACCTTGTGGAATGACATTCCAGCCAGCGTAGCCCGCGGGATCATTGCAGTACCCAAGCCCGACCACCACGTTAAAGTGGCAGCTTTCGGTAGGTCACACATAGTTACCTGTCAAATGGTCAGTTCGCCTCTAGCCATCTGAATAACACAGCACTGTCAAAGACGTTTAATGGGAATTCCGAAACCCTGACACATCGTTCAGCTGACCAGCCCATCAAGCTTTCAGATCAGTTGTTTCACCCTCAGCGGATTGCTTATGGATTTTCGCTTCCAGAATGCAAACCTGTCTCATTCGATTATTTCATTACATGTTATTATTTTGCCTGTTAATTACATTCCAACCTGATAAAGGGAGCCTGAAAATTAATGTTTGTTACACATGGTTCTTTACGTTATCAGTACGGTAATCCCTTGGAACAGGTCATTGCTGAAGAGAGTCTCTCGCTTTAGTGACGTCTTATGTGCGAATACGTGTGGAAACCACCCCCAACGAGATTTGAATGCGGAGCACTGACACCAGAGTATTATCATCATTGACAATGTTGCTTGTTTTACCAAGTACAGTTTAGTTTGTTCTCCCAATCACATCAGCACACGTCGAAGACATAAACTACTTTCAGCAACTTTAATGTCAGTTTTTTCGAGAACATTGCACACTGGCTAAATATGTTCTAAACTTTTGGTGCCATTTTTAAGGGACCCGTTAGAAAACAAAATTATGCAGCTGTGGCATCAATCCGGCGGACATATTATGTAGCTCGATGGATGCGTAAGGTTTATTATACTGCCAGCTCGCTGACCCCTGGAAATGAGTAACCGAAATGCCAAAATAAAATTCAAAAAAGAAACCGCTGAGTTGGTCGGAAATCTACCAATGCCTGTTCCCTTCATGACCCCTGAAAATCCAGATTGGGTTTAACCCGACATTCCCACTGAATTATTAATATTAATCATAAGTTTACGGATGACTCTCGACAGCCCTCTCTCAGATTTGTTTTTCCTGGGGACCATTAGCTAGCTTCCGATTTCCCGTCAATCTGATATCTCAGTTGAACACCAGATTGCAGTTATGTTTCGATAAGTACTGACTTGTTAATTTATTTGGTGTTGATGGAAGACTCAACAGTCTTTGTGCAGCGCATTAAATCGGAGGATATTTTAGGCGAGCTATTCAGGTAAATTCCGATGAAGTCTCCCATCCTTACCAACCTAATTAGCAAGTGAGCATTTACCACGACATGAGGTTGACTTTTGGGTTATATGTGCATTCTGGAATGGTTGGAACTGGAGTCTCAAAGGGTTACTCTGTATTAATAGTACACGGGCGACGTGAAGCATTCTGCCCCGGCTAATATCGCAGTGTGAAGCTACTCAATTAAGTGTTGATCGTTTTTCATACATAGTGTGACAGGACTGCTCAAAATACGGTCAGGCCTCAGGTAGCAAAATAGACGGTGGGCCGTCTTTGAATTTTGCGCTTTCGTCTCCTACTACTCCTGTCAAAATAACATGAAGCTGCTAGGATAGCGGTAGAATTATTTAGTGCATCCCATAAGCGGTCTGCTGTCATGCGGTACAGGACTATATACAAGTTACTGACCACAGCATTAAGTCTGATTTTGGTTTGATGGTAGTTTAAGCAGACACTGGGATTTCACTAAATATTTCGTCTTGTCAATGCAATCAATTTATGGTGACAACTGTATAGCTCTCTCATTTTTAGTTGGGATGAGTGCGAGTTACTCACAATGCAGATTGACTATTCATGAACACAAGCTATAGTCCATCTAGAGTTTTGTGAGATGCGCGCTTATCCCAACGAACAGGAATTGACCCTACAGTTCTCCTCGGCTCTTCGGTACAGATAAAATTCACTTGCAAGAGGAAGTCTATTAAACTTCGCCCCAACATGCTTAAGAACCATTGGACCTGGAACCAAGTGGATCCAAACGATTAACATAGTTGTCTTAGCTAGAAGCGATATTCCGTCCCCTCATGCAAAGCTCGGACTGAGGTCGATCAGAAGTAACCAATCAGCTTTGACATCCCTTCTAGCTAAATTTACTCCGTCAGAATGGCAGTTAAAAATGATACATCTGTCTTTACGATAGTTTATTGAAAATAGCATCAGTAGGATGTGTGGGCAGGTTTTAGAACTATTTTGGATTTACGTGATTGCCGTGTGGCAACATGATGAGTGGCATTTCTGTAGCTGAAGAACGGACCATAAATTATCTCATCAAATTTTATGGCGCCATTTGGTGTGTCACTGACACAGTTTCGGTTACATAGCAGTACCGTTTTTGGGATATTGAGCATCATCGATTAAATCGTGGTTAAAAATTTGCAGGCCGTTGGCATTCAATTCCCCTCGTTGGGCACGTTCCAGAATATATTTCCATCTGGACCGATTTCGCCGGATATTTGCAATAACTGCATTGGCTTGAGGAAAAAGTTTGACAAAAGTTCTGTAAATAGGAAAGAAGAATACATCAAGACTGTTCGACTGCAAGCAACGAACCATCGCATTAATGTGAATGTTCGGGTCACAGGTTGGCATTATGCTATGACTTAGTATTAGGCACAAAAGCAATAATCAGAGGGGCAAGGAAAACAGACGGATCAGAAAAAACACTCGAAGGTACGAATGACTCAGTCATAAAAGGAAAAATAGTAATATTCAGTACACGTACGTGAACTTCTATGGGATGTATGTATATCGAACCTCCCTTATGAGGACTACTAATGAACATAGCGTTCCATTCCGGCGAGGTTGTCTCCCTCCATAGGGAAGGGAGTATATAATCGATATTGTGAGACAGCTGAGAAACGTTTGATTTGTTGAGTCATGTTTTCAAGAAATCTGTCGTAGCTAATTAAATTTCGAAATTTTCACACTTCATTTGTTATTGTTTGGAATGTGCTTCGCCCACGAGGGATTATATATGTTGCCAAAATATCTATGGCCATATTAATTAAGGCGAGTAATTCTCTACTTTTTTCATAGCCTTGATAGCAGTCTGTTGTTTATAACGTCCGTTGGTACGCCCCCGTTTGAGCATTTTGAATGGTGACCCCTCCGTAAGCAATATCCTCTATAGCATAATTTCAAAAGTGAGTTCCTTGGTAAAACAAATTAGACATATTGGTCAAATGTCATGCTCCTGAGTTAAAACAATCGAATATATATATATATATATATATATATATATATCAAAGACAGTTTATGTGAACCAACTCATGGGTGGTCCGCGATGGCCATCCAAGGTACACATGATCTATGCTTGTGCTTTCGGGGAGTCAGAAATAAGAAGTCTCGTAGCTTCTTTAATTTACGGCGCTAGTGTGACCTTTTCAGAAGTTATATTCAACAGCTGTGGGCAGAGCACCGTGAATACTTTGATTGACTCGAACCTTCTTCAAGTTTCTCGTGAAGGAGACGAGCAACTCATTCCTTGTAATGAGAAGCATTAAGATAGAACTAACGACCACACAAATTAGCTGCTGTCTGGAGATTCAGCTCACCAATAGTTGGATATGTTTCTGTCACCTACAACCACCATCTAAGCCGCAAAGTACATCCTATGAGTAGCCGGAAACACGGCCGTTCAACCACTCTAGCAGTGAATGGCGTTTTAGTACCATTAATATGTGCCCCAGGTAAACAGCTTAGACAAACCGGGCGCTCAAACATTTTCGCTCGCTAAAATTGAACAGAAATCAATCGAAATTCGAGTCAATATTTTTTTCCAACGGCCTACCACAGGAGGCCACTGATGAGGAGGCGTAGTCACTGACATCGAAGAAGCTCCGTGGAACCGGGGTAGTAAGCCAAGTAAGGAGGGAAATCAGTTTCAACCTAATCAAGCTGTAAGACCACTGAACTCAACAGGCACGATTGCTTCAGCATCCATTTCCCCGTCAGTTATTTAGGAGTTAAGGTATATTCAGTCTCCAAATCACACGTTTTTGACGTCCATGATGGACCGAGGTTGGTCTCATTTCCCAATACACACAAGGACCATTATGTTTATTTCATTATGAAGTTTGAAGAATTATGCCACCAGCTGAGTACGCAGTGTCTCATGGTAATGGCAGACATTAGCTCAGTGTTAGACAATTGCCAGTCTGGTCACGATGCACGAGAAATTATTTATCTGAGAGACGGCAATTTTATGACTTAACGGTATTTACTCAGCCGTACCCCAAGACAATCTAGCAAATGCCACTTTACCTTGCACGTTTCGTCGGATTTCGGAAGGCAAATCGCAATGAAAGCTCACGTATTCAATACGATTTACGGTTGAAATGACTTAACAACCTTAACATAGTAATGTCGATATTTAGGAGACTGAATATTTACTGCCAATCAGCCAGTGAGCTTGCGACGTCATATCTTGTGTGTATGCCCATCATCCTTTTGTACTGCCTCGTCGATATCACACTCGGATGACTAGGCGGAACCTAGTTGGCAAGGGCAATCGTTATCACTCTTTTCTAAAATACTGAAAGTTGTTCCCGTTTGAGAGAGCACAAACTGGAAGAACACTCGGGACAGCTGTTTGTAGATTAAAAATGCACTTTTTGAAAGAGCGTGCGTGACTTGCAAAATGTCGAGTTACCATTCCAGGCATCCATGTGCTTGGTATTTCGGGCAGTTGACAACCAACCCACCAAAACAGAATGTTTCGTATCTTTCAGGACTAACAAACCGTATTGCATCGGGTGTCAAAGGAAGGCTGTCACGCGGAAAAAAGCCACTGGCTTTCAATAACAGGCTCAAGCAGGTAAAAAAAGTATAAAAACTCTGGAGTTAAAGTCGCAAAATGGAACTCATGCAGCAGCACTTTCAATCATGCCTGTTCAACAACTGGTTATATTGCGGATGAAATGTATCAAGGTTACTTGTCACGAATACACTTTTGGTTGAAAGTTCGTAACTGAGCATTACAAGTGATTTCCCTGTTCACTAGGGGACCATTGAATACGTCTTAACTAGAGCTTGATTGTCGGTAGTGTGAGGAGATTTGGGAATTTTGTGGCGATTTCATCTTGTAAGTGAAAGTTAATCATGCTGAAAAGCCGAGAAGAACTGTAAAGCTTTTTCGTCCTTAACGGGGGGAGTCATCAGAAGTGCGCATCTTGCAAAAATCGGGCTAGTGTCCAGCCCGCGACAAGCGGCCACGCCGCACGTGTTAGAACGGTTAATTGTTCAGACTACCAGCCAGGAGGTCGCAGGGTAAGGATTCTCCGAAATTTCGCGAGATTCGCACTGCTGATGGTTTCCAATAAGGATGAATCAACTGTACCGTGATTCTAGGAGTTCCAGCATTCACTTACAGGATGAATGAACCACTTAGGTGATCTAGGTTGCGCCGGCCCCATTAAGTACAGTAATCCCTCTTCTCGTATTAAATAGCTGGTAAAAGCCACAAATCAGTGTAAAGGAGGATTTTACTGAGAATTCTACCAGGTCAAGGGGATAGCACGACCAATTTTAACGGGGAAGATTAATTGTTCTTTTCTTACACCACGTTTGACCTGCATGCACGGAGTGTGTTCACTTTATGGGACGGCTCCCTGTTGTTTCTGTCCATTAACCTGCATACGTAATGTATGCGGGCTATACCAATATTTTAGTCGCCCTTGAATATCCTGTCTAGTTTGGCGTTTGTTTGCTGAGTGTGCTTTTACTTATTTGCTTTTTTCCTATGTAAACAACGGTCCATTAATGACGGCCATGTGGAAAACAAATAGACCGTACGGAAGCTTCCGCATTGTCAAAGCAATGGTAGCCTAATCCAAACCCTATTATGACGGTAATGCGATCTGTGATTTCACTTCGATGTAAATTCCACTCCCCAAATTAGAAATAATAAGGGTAGAATAAATGGTCACAGATTAACCAAACTAAACCGGAGGTTGCCACGTTTTCCGTTTGATATTTCACGTGGAATTAGAGTTAAAAGATACTTATTAAGGTTGTACGAGTTACTAAAACCTTCTTTTGAATTTCCCAATGGGTTTATTAAATGTTTCGTTAGCTTACAGTTGTAAATTCTACAGGCCACTTAAGTGAACACATCGGATAGGCAGTGTCGTCTAGTCCAGTGAGCAGTGCCACCGGAAGTCTCACTTCATCTACCTGAACATCCACGAGAAATGCCTTTATGTGCCTTTACTACCACTACGTGAACCATTTCAGCGCATCTCATCACACGTTACATCTTACTTGCATTTCTGTATCCTCATAAATCATGGTGTTTGTGGATATAGTTGAAATCAGAACAACTAATTAACGAAGTCCGGCTATTAGCACAGTCACTTCTCGACTTATTCAGGGTATATCCTATTGAAAACGCGTGCTGACCAGGCGGTCATATTATCCTGGATTGTCTAAATCATCCAGGCGGTCAAAACTTTTGCCCCATCGATTGGTTGTCTTGTGGGAGAGGGAGTAAACTATCCGGTGTTGAAATGAAAGATAACGTGTCATCGAAGGCACGCAAACAATGTCGACTATAGGCGAATTCCAGTCAGGCAGACCAGAAGAACCTAGATGGCTTCAAGCTTTGAAGTGGGATTAGTCAGAGCAGTGCAGTAGTAATTGATTGCAAAGACACGGATCCCTTAATCATTCTTAACTACAACAGGAGCGAAATTAAAGTGGATTACTTTGTTAAAGTTACGATGGCATAAGTCTGTCACCGATAGACCGCTTGTTGATCATCCTTCGTTTTCTTTACTGTGTGACGTTTCGCTAAACATTCAGTGTGAGCCGAATATTCTCACTACAAAATCCTCCTACAGAGCTCATTACAAAGACTTAATGCTGAATTGCATTTTCACCAGAATCCCGAAGCCTGATGAGTGGCCCAATGATTCCGCGATGTTCTAGTTGTAGCTGAAATTCGGGATGATTGTGCCAGTAATTCAGATAGATTAACAGACCAAATAATTTTCGAAAACTGCCCCGGTCGGCGTTACAAAAATCATAGTGAATAAGTTAATTCACTGCACTCAAACGGATACACGCCTCGAAAATGCCTCACAAGAAGATATTTTCGTGACGATTGCACGATGGATTGTCAATGAGAATGACCACATACAGGTCCAATCGCGTTAAACGTATTATCCTGAGGACCGAGGAGACAAACAGAGGTTGGACGATAGTTCGGACTGTGTTTGAAAAAAACATCGGGAACTTTGCCTCCTTAATGTACCAAACTTACATAAGCTTTTTGAAAAATAAGGGTGATGATTTTTTATGAGCACCATGGGTATCAATCTGCCAGTCACTGAGATTAACCCAGTTACCTGCCTTCTAAATTAGATCCGCTAAAAGACAGAAATTTGGAGCACACGTCACATGTATTTGTAGTTGAGAAAAAGGCAAGGCTAATGAAACGTCTATAAGGAAGTGAGAAGTTCAGTGAAAAGTCAATAAGCGCTAATTTGGTTACTCTTGGATTTGTGAAGACACTTGTTTGTTGCTCTGTTCGCTGAGCTAGACAGCTTCGTTGCAAACATTACACAACCTGGCCAATACGACAAGAGCGCACTTGTGACGTCGACTAGGTTGGTAGTAAAACATTTGCAGCCAAACGGCCGAGCTTACTTGAATACGTCTTAACTAGAGCTTGATTGTCGGTAGTGTGAGGAGATTTGGGAAGTTTGTGGCGATTTCATCTTGTAAGTGAAGTTAATCCATGCTGAAAAGCCGAGAAGAACTGTAAAGCTTTTTCGTCCTTAACGGGGGGAGTCATCAGAAGTGCGCATCTTGCAAAAATCGGGCTAGTGTCCAGCCCGCGACAAGCGGCCACGCCGCACGTGTTAGAACGGTTAATTGTTCAGACTACCAGCCAGGAGGTCGCAGGGTAAGGATTCTCCGAAATTTCGCGAGATTCGCACTGCTGATGGTTTCCAATAAGGATGAATCAACTGTACCGTGATTCTAGGAGTTCCAGCATTCACTTACAGGATGAAGTATCCACTTAGGTGATCTAGGTTGCGCCGGCCCCATTAAGTACAGTAATCCCTCTTCTCGTATTAAATAGCTGGTAAAAGCCACAAATCAGTGTAAAGGAGGATTTTACTGAGAATTCTACCAGGTCAAGGGGATAGCACGACCAATTTTAACGGGGAAGATTAATTGTTCTTTTCTTACACCACGTTTGACCTGCATGCACGGAGTGTGTTCACTTTATGGGACGGCTCCCTGTTGTTTCTGTCCATTAACCTGCATACGTAATGTATGCGGGCTATACCAATATTTTAGTCGCCCTTGAATATCCTGTCTAGTTTGGCGTTTGTTTGCTGAGTGTGCTTTTACTTATTTGCTTTTTTCCTATGTAAACAACGGTCCATTAATGACGGCCATGTGGAAAACAAATAGACCGTACGGAAGCTTCCGCATTGTCAAAGCAATGGTAGCCTAATCCAAACCCTATTATGACGTAATGCGATACTGTGATTTCACTTCGATGTAAATTCCACTCCCCAAATTAGAAATAATAAGGGTAGAATAAATGGTCACAGATTAACCAACCTAAACCGGAGGTTGCCACGTTTTCCGTTTGATATTTCACGTGGAATTAGAGTTAAAAGATACTTATTAAGGTTGTACGAGTTACTAAAACCTTCTTTTGAATTTCCCAATGGGTTTATTAAATGTTTCGTTAGCTTACAGTTGTAAATTCTACAGGCCACTTAAGTGAACACATCGGATAGGCAGTGTCGTCTAGTCCAGTGAGCAGTGCCACCGGAAGTCTCACTTCATCTACCTGAACATCCACGAGAAATGCCTTTATGTGCCTTTACTACCACTACGTGAACCATTTCAGCGCATCTCATCACACGTTACATCTTACTTGCATTTCTGTATCCTCATAAATCATGGTGTTTGTGGATATAGTTGAAATCAGAACAACTAATTAACGAAGTCCGGCTATTAGCACAGTCACTTCTCGACTTATTCAGGGTATATCCTATTGAAAACGCGTGCTGACCAGGCGGTCATATTATCCTGGATTGTCTAAATCATCCAGGCGGTCAAAACTTTTGCCCCATCGATTGGTTGTCTTGTGGGAGAGGGAGTAAACTATCCGGTGTTGAAATGAAAGATAACGTATCATCGAAGGCACGCAAACAATGTCGACTATAGGCGAATTCCAGTCAGGCAGACCAGAAGAACCTAGATGGCTTCAAGCTTTGAAGTGGGATTAGTCAGAGCAGTGCAGTAGTAATTGATTGCAAAGACACGGATCCCTTAATCATTCTTAACTACAACAGGAGCGAAATTAAAGTGGATTACTTTGTTAAAGTTACGATGGCATAAGTCTGTCACCGATAGACCGCTTGTTGATCATCCTTCGTTTTCTTTACTGTGTGACGTTTCGCTAAACATTCAGTGTGAGCCGAATATTCTCACTACAAAATCCTCCTACAGAGCTCATTACAAAGACTTAATGCTGAATTGCATTTTCACCAGAATCCCGAAGCCTGATGAGTGGCCCAATGATTCCGCGATGTTCTAGTTGTAGCTGAAATTCGGGATGATTGTGCCAGTAATTCAGATAGATTAACAGACCAAATAATTTTCGAAAACTGCCCCGGTCGGCGTTACAAAAATCATAGTGAATAAGTTAATTCACTGCACTCAAACGGATACACGCCTCGAAAATGCCTCACAAGAAGATATTTTCGTGACGATTGCACGATGGATTGTCAATGAGAATGACCACATACAGGTCCAATCGCGTTAAACGTATTATCCTGAGGACCGAGGAGACAAACAGAGGTTGGACGATAGTTCGGACTGTGTTTGAAAAAAACATCGGGAACTTTGCCTCCTTAATGTACCAAACTTACATAAGCTTTTTGAAAAATAAGGGTGATGATTTTTTATGAGCACCATGGGTATCAATCTGCCAGTCACTGAGATTAACCCAGTTACCTGCCTTCTAAATTAGATCCGCTAAAAGACAGAAATTTGGAGCACACGTCACATGTATTTGTAGTTGAGAAAAAGGCAAGGCTAATGAAACGTCTATAAGGAAGTGAGAAGTTCAGTGAAAAGTCAATAAGCGCTAATTTGGTTACTCTTGGATTTGTGAAGACACTTGTTTGTTGCTCTGTTCGCTGAGCTAGACAGCTTCGTTGCAAACATTACACAACCTGGCCAATACGACAAGAGCGCACTTGTGACGTCGACTAGGTTGGTAGTAAAACATTTGCAGCCAAACGGCCGAGCTTACGGAAAGGATTGCTGTGAATGTGAAAAATTTGAGTGGCTGATAGTCCTCCTGAATTAGCAACCTTGAAATATTTTTCCGACTAATTCTGTAGCATCGGCAAGCGCCAACCTTCCTATTTTAACCTAAGTGGTGGCAGCTGAAGGCAGCTCATCAGACACTGTCATCGCGAGAAGTCAGAAGGAGAATATCACTGAACTAGCCAGTCGTTCCGTTGCGCTCGCATTTATGGATAACTTCAGCCAACAAAAAGATCGTTACCATCCAAGAAGGCAGTTTGTAACGGGAGCAACAAGAAGGCACCAGAATGAAAACGGACTTGCCATCCCGCGTTAAAACAAGCTGTTTGACAAGCTATGATTTTGCTTCAACAAAAAATTTCGACTGTGTGCTTTACACCAACTTGCCTAGAAGTTCTTGAACTATAAAATAAGAATGAGAAAAAACGTAAAACAATTCACAACTAAGATCAAAACTCATTTCTACAATACAGTTTCGATATTAATAATCACAGTTATGCATTGTGAGGTCTCCATTTCGGATCTATCATATGAGAATTAGTATCCCTTCTACTGGTTACCTGAAAATAACTGGATTTAAATGGAGCGCTGAATCGTAGACATGAGACCATAATGTAAATTTAAAAATTTGTTGTCCGCCACACGACTTCTTAAAAGAAGGATAGTGGTTTGTCACCAGTGAAGGAAAAGCGTGGTTTGGTGTCCCGCACAATGCTATCCAAATATTATTGGCTAGATGAGGATATTCCGAATAATTAAAAACCGGTATCAATGTATTGGAATATTTTCGCCCGGGTGTTTGTATTCATCATCGGTTCGTTTACACACAAAGCTTGGGAAACGGTTTGCATGCCAACTGATTAACTGCCAACTTATGACCTAATACCATGACCTTGGATAAAATGAGATCAGTTTATGCTTTTTTCCAGCCAGAAAAAAAACAAATTAACAACATGGACAATGAGCATACTTACTCATACAGCGGTGATATAATGTAATCGAGGAAGGAAATTTGTAGCTGAGGTACACAAGCCCGTTCGCGATCCATACTGTCCACCGGATTTTGACCGATTGCTTTCTCCAAGTCACCTTGACGAAAGAATTCCTCATAAATTAGTTTAGCAACGCCGACTGTGTTTTGCCAGCTCTTTGTCTGATCACTGAGGTCAGCGGCTGTCATTAGGAGCGCAAGCAGCAGTTGATGGTGTTCCCCATTGTTAACATCATAGCCCTGGGCCACCATCTGTTTCTGATTGGCGCTTATATTGATGTGATGTGCCAGGTCTGTCGCTAGTATAATATCACGTATGAGGTCCAACATTTGTCCGTATTCCTTGGGTGGTCACGATGACGGCAGGAAATCAAAGAAGGACATCAAGAAAAACGTGAAGAGACAAATTTGTGTTGGATATTAGTTTTCAAAGCTCTGGTTTCCGAAGACAGCTTAGAAAGAACATACTAGTCCGCAAATGGACGTTTGTTCTGCAAGTCAGAAAAATTTCCACTTGTTTTATACCATACACTGTCGCACAAGTCGGGTTTCCACCTATTTCCCGCAATATTATTTGGTCTGCTGATGCGCCTTATATTTGACTGTGTTGTAAATTGCCTTCCGCTCTGTCTGATATAAAGGTTTTATATGTGGCTAAGTTAAAAGTCAAAACCGTTGTATAAAAGCGGAGATTTTAATAAGTATATTTGGATCTGGAATAAATAAATCTTATAAAATGACGATAGCCAAGTACTCCATAACTCTTCTTAGTTCTCACTGAAAAGATCGTCTTCAATGGTTCCTACAGCAGCCAACCTAAAAGCCTTATTTGGTGCATTGAAGAAGCCACTGACAGCAGGACGCTACTGAGAGACAAGCGCATCGAAAAGCTCACGGCTGGTAACCAGCGAGGAGGACAGCACTGTCACTAGTCTGTAGCCGAAAAAATATCAATGTATCATTTTGACCAAACCTACCCAGCCGCTGACAGCAGGACACTACTGAGAGACAAACGCATCGAAAAGCCCACGGCTGGCAACTAGTGAGGAGGACAGCACTGTCACTAGTTTGTAGCCGAAAATTATCAATGTATCATTTTGACCAAACCTACCAGTTTTTCATTGTAACTAATGCAATACATGTGGCTAATCACTCCTCGGCCACCGCTTTGTGACGCCACTGCCAAGCAGAATTTAAGGACGTTTCAAACAGTCAAGAAAATTAACCCGACCAAGGAATTTTGGCCTGTCTTCGATATTCTAGTTTGAAACGCGACTGACTGCATTGGTTTTGGTTCTTCTCTATTACTGCTTCCAGCCCAAAACCGGAGATGACCACATTCTGCGCATTAGCTCACTCAACCAAGCTTATTGTTTCAGTCCTATTTGCAAATGTGTGTAAACGTTTTCAGAATATCACCGGTTTTCAACACTAAATTGCTTACGTGTTACCATTTTCTAAATGTGTATCCTTTATCCCTCTCACCATGGTCATCAGTACCCATTTTACACTGAATAAAGCTCCGATTATTCTCATGTGTATTAAAATCACATCTATGTCCGTCATTTCGTGGAGAATTTGTTTAGAGTTTCCGGTTTCCGCAGTTAGGTTTACTAATCTATGGCATTTAAGTCGATATTTAAAAATACGGACGTGTAGATCAAGTTATTACAGCGTAAATGTATAGGCCTGTTTTGTTGTTGGTGTGGTGAATCGGTGTGACTGTCAGAGTATACATTGAAAGCTACAACTGTGATATGGACCGCACAACCTCACCAGACTAGCAACCACTGATATCATCTGTTTCGAGATCTTCATCCAGCTTGGTGAGATTTGTCAGCAGAACTAACTCACCGTCAGTTGTTCACTGTCAGCTGTCTGTCAACCCATGCTAGTAAACTTATCGGGAAATCTACATTGTTCAAAAAGGATAGCCCAAATGGATAATGCGACGAAAATGACAAAGATACTGAAAACCGAATGTGGGACTGACTCTGATTCACTTAAAGTCGGTTTGACTCATTCACACCGTTTCCTCTGGTTAGCCGAAAGAAGGACAGGTTGGGTCAGGTAATGTTCACCAATCTGAATCCAAGAATATGTGTACAGCCCCGGAAAATAAGGCCCATGCAACGCAGATATGACACATGTGTATAATATCTGTNCAACGCAGATATGACACATGTGTATAATGTCTGTGTAAGCTCTGTGTATACGGAGCCCAAAGGAAAATTCGGCATTCCCTCAAATAAATTGGTTATATTCGGAAGAGCTTAGGGCGTTTCAAAGATTCCGTAGTTCTGGTGAACACAAATCCCCAAAGCAATCAAAATATTTGTTTTTGGTCCAATGCGGTTGTAACAACGAGCAGACAAATGTAAGGTAATTTATCAACCGCTGCTTCCCGCCAAGGAAGCGCATGGGATTTTGTCTAGCAAATTAATCATAAGAGTGACAAGACGTCAGTAGTATCTGAGGTGCTATCCGAGGTATATGGCAATCAGTCGTGACTGTTTGGGCTTCTTGTTGAACTAGATTGACTCTGAGTACCTGAGTACCTCTGACTATGACGCAATGAATTTGTGATGATCAAAGTAACTGGATAAAAACATTTTCACCACTGAGGGAATATAACAATGTAAACAAAGGATAAGGCATAAATAAAGTAAGAAAATTAACAGGAAGCCAACAAGTTAAATGTGAGAGTACTCACCTTTTCACTGAAGCGTTCGAAAATATTGCATCCAGGTGTGTTCAATATGCAAATTGTTTGTGAGAAATGATGGCGCTCCAAAACAGAACCATCCGAACTGTACAAAGCTGCCAACAGTGACTTGGATTGGAGCTAGTGGATGCAATCGAAAAATGCCGAGGGAGTCCAAAGTGCAAGTTTAAGTAGTCGGTGCCTTCTGCACCCTGAATCTGGTTTTCAGATGATAGGAAACTGATTCACAACTTTGACTTTCACTAGCGTTTGATTCTACCAGCCTGTTCTGTTCGCAAGTCATCGTAAATCGTAAGTCGTGCACTGCAGGTCTCTTGTTTGCGTATGCTTTTGACATAACTCAGATTGTACTTTTTGAGAAGGTGAAACTAAATTAGGTCAACTTAGTTTCTAGATATGAGTTTAGACCGCTTCACTGTTGTACACAAGGGACAGAAATATTTCTTCTGCGTGGGCTGAATGAACGAGTTTGTTCTTTCTTATATTCGTTTTCCGGTGACACCTGCTCTATGTCACAAACAAATTAATGCAGTGACTAGTCAGTTAAACTAAGCTTACTACAATTAGACTATACTGATCGATTTTCGTGTCCCTCACACATATCCGTTGACGATAAAAATGGTTCAGTCTTCTACTCGAAAAGTGGAATCTCTAACAAATCGGTACCAATTTGGGTTCTAAAGAAAAGTAAATCAGCTCATCTTGGAATGATGGCCCCAACAAATGAAAAAAGTGTCCGCACTTTATGGACACCAGTAAGTCATGAGTGGCGTCAGCCTTACGTCATTTTATTTTCAGTTCTGGGTTTCCTCTGGCACTCTAGCTGATTCACTTTCTAGTAATTTGCATACATTTCGCCGGCCCGTGGCAAGTTCCAGCACTAAAAACGGCGTTTCATTATCAAAGCACAATTACCTGGCAGCAGAATAATAGAAATAAAGTGTATCCCAGGTGCCTAGCCCTAGTAGACGGAAGTTTTAACTATAATGTCAGTATATCACCAGATATTTTGTAACGTCATGTAAACAAAAATCCTGGTGATATTCCAATGTGACTAAATGAATGTTTTGGGAATTAGACAGATATTGCTTCAGTTCTATTCACAGGGGGACTAGTCAACACAAAAGATGCTCCAATTTACTCGGGACTGCCAAAATCGCCATTCATGGCTCTCATTTGTGAATAGAAGTATCACCGCAGCTCTCCTTGCGTGCGACTTCCTACTGTTGTATGTATATTGTATCAATAAGATCTGGTCTTTGGAAGTAACGATCGTCGTTTTAATTTGACGTAAGGAAGATTATGTGGCGCATTGACACCGGAACATGTAAAACGGATCATTTCAGATCTTACCTATGAATTACATCAAGTAATAACGGTAGATGAACTTTGATACGATTTCTGGAGCGGTTGGTTATATCGAAAAAAGAACTGCTGGTGAGCTTATGGATTCTGTTCATGAATCAAGGATCATTCATGTGGTTGGATTGCTATCTAGGCCTGAGGGCTTCAGTAAATAATATCAACTGGAACTAGTTTTAGTGGATTCTATGGATTTCAAAAGCTACCTTCGAATCAGTGTGACTAACCTGGAAAGCGTTATTTGTTCCACGGTGATCAATGTCGTGACATAGGGAAGCCACAAACAGTGCCAGAAATTCGATGTCCTTGAGAAAGTTCCCGGTTAGAGGAAGATTTTTTCCGCAGATGTAGATGAAGTGTGTGACTGAAAAAGCATGTGTCCAGTTATGATAGGGAGGATTCCGATAGCCTCGACAGACCATTAAAATGAAATGAGCCAGCGTGCGTCGCGACAGCCGCCATTTGTTGATAAGTTCTAAATCTTCAAACATCCCCAACAAAGCCTGACGTTAATAAGGAAGAATTGGTAATGTCAGTCAGCGTACAGTCGTAAAAACTAAACTGGATGACTTATGTTACCAGAGTTAGGATAGAATCGCCAATTAGGGTTTTGTCCCTAAGGTTGGAGAACTACTTCTAGACTAGGCAACTAAATAGCATGTATATATCAAACTGTTTCATATTTAACACCCATTCGGTGCCACCCGAAGAAAGTTCAAGGGCTGAGATACTGCCAGGCTGCCCAGACTTAGACAGGAAGAATCAAGATGAAGAATTTGGGCTCGAACCCTGGACTTCGGCTTAGCAGACTCGTCCCTTAACCATCAAACTATCTCGAGCTCTGTAAGTATCAATTCAGTTCAATTCATCAGCTATAAACCGTGTGCCATAGGCACATTGGTTCCAGCTGCTACAGTTTCGATCACCATAAAACGGGAAAGTTGGACGTAATCAAGCCTCTGAGGCGAAGGAATGTTCAGAAACTGGGTAGCTACGCATTGAAGGCGACAGCTTTGATGTACGAGCGGCACTGACTGCGCGATTGGGCCATTTACACCAGTATCATCAACCACTGGTGATTTGAGTCTCGCAGTCCCCATCCAGGGAGGGGCAGTTGCCTACCCGACTAAGTTTACTGGTTAATGTTTTAGTACTTCGTTGCCAGGTCACACGCTGTCCACCTCTCGGTAGCTTCCACTCAGCACAGGACCAGACCGGCCAAGCACGTCAGACTATTGAGACACTGGTTTCGGGCAGGGTCCCCCAAGAAAACTCCAACAATTGCTGTCTTGCGGTCCAGACTTTTGAGTCGGAGGCTAGGAGTAGGGTCCCTGAACTAAACCGAACATCGTCTCACCACCTTGTGGATCAGACTTTGGAGTCAAAGACTCAAGGTGGGGTACCTCAACTAAACCCAATTCTTCGACTTGGGCAACCGGGAAGTACCATTTGTCTTTGCCGCTCTTCGGTCACCGGTATTCCCTCTCATTCCCTCCCAACCCATCGTGTGTTTGAACTTTGCCGCTACTGAGAATCTGTAAAGTGAAGCACCTAAGATTTGAACATTCAGGCATCCACTCAAATTTGTTTGCTGAAAATTCCTCGCAATTAATGCGGTGCTTATAGTTGGGAAATAAGGTACACCCAAAGACCCAAGACACTTAGTAAGAATGGAAGAAACCCTTTCTGCATGTATTAATAATTAAAAAAAGCCAAACAGGAGCGATAAAACAATACTCACTAGAAAACTATCGTCTTCCGACTTAATTTCTCGAGGAATAGATAAAAATGATGCTGGATTTGGAAGCAGAGTTTTCACAGAAGGAATGTTGCAGGTCGTTAACCATTCGGCCTTTTCTTCGGAAACCTATAAACGGTACAGCGGATAGTGTGACTGCAGAATTCAGGTAAAACGGTTAACTAAGCATCATATTTATGGGATAACCTTGCCTGCATATGATATGTCAGTAGTTCATTTGCCAGGCGTGCCCGATTCTGCGCATCTTGGATTCGTTTATACATTAGTGACTGTTAGGGCAGAGAAAAAATGGGAAAGAAGTAAATGGGCGCTGTGTCCTCTATAGGCAGATATTAGGAGTTTGTTCGTAGGCGGTTGAGTGCGGTTAGGTTTTGATTTGGAGAACTATATTTGGCCGGATATAACAGGAGAAAACACTGTGTCTTTGATAAGCTCTGTGAATAGGTATCAAAAGATTCAGAGAAAATCGTTGAGTTACACGTATTTGCAAATGCAAGAATTGCGTAAGATGCGCAGAGAGACATAAACGACAATGACAGCAGTGGAGTAGAACTGTCTACCCAAATTCCCTGCTAATGAGAAATATGATGTTAATGATGATGCTGAATAAAAATGACATTTATGTCAGCGCGACAGATTTGCGTCAGTGCTTCACTGTGAAATAACTGAATGTCACCCGCTGTGCACTAATTTGGTTATACAACCTGTGATTTAAAGGACATCAACCAGTGGTCCAAATCAATGGCTTTTGATAATGTCAGCTAGCATAGTATTGTTAACTGAGAGGTAGCATCCAGCTATGAGTACCTCTTTGCTACTAAAAACGGCTTTCGTTTGGAACCGTATTAGAACGGCGATACGGTACGTAAAGCATGGATGGATCTTGGCGAACGATCAATCCTTTTATCCCAAGTCATTTACCTCGTCATTTCTTTTTTTCTACAACACCGTCAGCCCAGATACATTGTTAGTTAGAATATATTATTCATAAGTTTATGAGCCGCGACGCAATACAGGGAAAATGAAAACTGAGTCCAGACAAAAGCGATGGGAAGACCAGGAATGGAATCGAAAAACGCAACCGCAGGTCAGTAGCTAGAAAACCATTTCGTTTTACAGTGTGGTTTGTTGTCATTCGGAGGATCACTAAGTGTAGGAAAAGAATAAGTCGACTTGATGTGTGGACCACTATGCGAACGAAATTAGGAACATTGAACTCATCACCTTCATGGCACCCGTCGACAAGAATTAGCTGGACGAAATGGGGTGTATCATCGTGTTTCTCACGGCTACTTATGGGGCCGGGCCTCAGAAATTGAGCATACTCGCGCAACTCCTCATGCAACTTGGCTTGACTCGAACCGCTAAGTGTTTCATTCAGACGAGGAGTAGATGGCTATATTCGCGATTTTTACATACATGTCGTGACGATTTAGTTCCAGTTATTACTACGGCTGGTTTGTAACCCAAAGCGAGCATCGGCTGAAATAGCATCAGTAGCCCGGATCTTTACAGAGGCAAGCAAAATGCCCGGCGTGGATTCAATTCACCAAACTCCCAAGCAGAAGGTTGTGCAGCTCAGTTTTCAGAGATTTGGCTATGAGGCAAACGTCCCATATTTCTAAATTGTGCTTTTACATTGAATTTAGTCCGAAAAGTTCGTACAGATGAAACTCTACCAAAGGCAGTCGAATTAGTCTTCTGTTAGTTTCCTGCTTCCTCCACAAATACGGACATATACAAGTGCAAATTGTCACAGAGATCGAAACGTTTAACAGAGTGTAATGTTTAGCGAGCAGCAAGCAGAACTCTCGCAGACGTCTGGCGAAACGAAAGGGGTGTGAAGTCACCGATGACAACGAGTTTTCATGGCATGTTATTTTATTTCACTGCACTGAAGTTTAGTGCTAAAATAAAAACAACAACGATAGTGGTTTACCTAGTTGTGACCTATCATATAAACTTACATGTACAATACTGATGCAACAGTATACGGCGAACGCCTTTGCTAATTCCTCGTCTGCATGTGTGAAGTGTGGAAATCCAATTTTATTGCACAGCTGAGCAACGCCGACAATCCCGTTTTCCTCATCTTTTATCGGGAAGCATAGGATATTTCTGTGTAGAAAAACAATCGATATACATCGTGCTGTGCATAATTTTGCTCATTAGTGAAAATCGAAAGGTAACTCTAGCTTGATACCTATTGTACCAACGTTACAATTGTTTGTTTCACAGAACTTTTCAAGTCTGGAGATTAATTACGTACACAGCACACTGAAAAAAACGCTTTGATAGTAAACGACTAGCTGAGCCAATACTTGAGTTTTTCTTAACATCTTTAGTTCTATGGGAGTTTTCCAATACAGTACAAGTTTTCTCCAGTCGCACCCGTTTACTCGCCACCGATAATAACTGCTTTCCTTGATTTTGAAAACATCTATTCTATACATTCTTGGACAGAAAGACTGCCTTCTAAAAGGCTTCCTAAAAGAATATGTGCTGTCTATTTCAATACTTCATATCATGTCAGAAAGAACAAACTGCTGTTCACGCGCTTTCTACGGCTCCCCTATCAAGTCTTTGTTCAAATTTTTGATGAATAGTTATCTTCATTTGACCCAGGTGTGCAAATGATAAGTGATTCAGTCGCGATTCGGTTGGCTGAGAAAACAAAATTGAATTTGATAGTTTCGAAATATCAGTGCAAGCTGAATTCTGTTTACCAGATTGATGGTCAGCCAATTGAGGGTGTCCAAAGAACAGGAGGTATAAAACAACCTCGAAAAATGAAACCATTTACTAACAGCATTATGACTTCCGAAAGTTCATGGAATGAAAAACATTGTGGATCAATTGATGTACTGGAACTGGACAGAATAGTCACACAGGTTAGGGAAGCTGAAGGAAGGAGATTCAAGAGAGAGATATGCGAGTCTAAAACACAAGTATGACTTCCAGTTTAACAACATAATGAAGAAGATGTCCTCCGTAGCCTCATTATTGAATTCACTTATGTAATGTGTCAAGATGTTGTTGAGTTACTGTCAATTGCCATTTGAGAGGTCGTGAATGTGTGCGGTTCTGGGCCATCAAACTGAGGAAAATCTCACACAACACATAACGATTGGACAACCATGCGCTAATCATGGTTTTGAACGTTGAAGGAACAGGCATGAGTAAATACGTAGAAAAAAGCGAGAGAGTGAGTTAATCCCACTGCTGATTGACCACCAATAGTCATTTGTTCGACTACTAGCCGGGAATTTGCAGTTTAAATAACTGCTGGGGTTGTGTGAGCTGTGTATAGCTGATGAATATCGATGAAGGTGGAACCGTCCTGCTTTTCTGTGTTTTGGCATTGAGTAACTTCATACTGCACTACGAAATTTCAAATGAAAGTTTCTCAAGCCTCCCCATACTATGCTCATTCGCTCATATCAGTACGATGATTTGGTCGCCATGGCGTCATCTAGCAATCTATCTTCGATCGATATCACTTGCAGTTTATTAACCAGTTCTCGGACAATTAAGACAAAATGACGTCACCGCATGACGTCATTAAAAATGCATTTGTAGTTCTGTGCCATTATATTTTATAGGGAGGTTCAGGAAATATCCGGTGGCTATGACCCCATTAACATGCTCAACTGCACGTCAAAAGCACGAGAATATCTGCTTCGCTCGTTTCATATACGAACGAATGTCTGGTGTTTGGGGTTTTCCGCTGATATGGAAAGCGAAGTGTGCTGATTTGCTGTCGCATTACGGAAAAGGTGGTAGGTTGTGGGAGTTTGCAGCTTCATACAAGTGGATTGCGTGTTACCTTGTAAAAGATCATTCGCTCAGGAGTGAGGACCCAGTGTTTTATGTTCGTATTCGCCTCAAGGAACCAGTTTATTTGTCAGGATTAGATGCAGTGCTGGTGAGCAATTGACGATAGTGTGTTGTGCACAAGCACTTTTCAGACCAACCAGTCCACATGTTTTTCCTGATGTACGTGACTCTACCGGAGGATCTTTGGCGGAAAACGCTTTGAAATCGCGTATGTGGACTAAGGCGTTGCATTTGCTGCCCAGTGAAAAGTTCACCCAAAACTCGCTTATATTTAAACTGTTTTAGAAGGTGTTACACTGACAAAGGGATGGTTTAATAATCTGAAAGTGTCTTGAAATCTGAGGAACTACAGACTGCGTTGAAGCCCCTAATATTGGCCTGTGAATGGCGTTCTAAACAAATCTGACGATTTTGAAATAGCGTACTTGCTGATTGTTAACAATGGTACTGAGACTCCATGTACTGGGTTGCTCTGCTAGTGAGGAGTTCAAACTTGGAGAAAACCCACGAGGATTTTACGTTGCTGGGCGAAAGAAAGAGTCTCGTGTAGTTCATTCGAATTAGCTGAAAGCAGTCACTTTGAGTTCATACGTTGTTAGTTCAAAACGGTAGGTGAAATTAGGATTACATGTATTTCCATTCGCTTTGATTAGGAAAGAACAGTCCACTATGATCCATTATCCCACGCACATAACACACAATTCCCTCCACTCATTAACTAATCCACAGGGCGAAATGCATCATGAGCAATTTCGAGTAGAATTGGCTACAATGCAAGGTTGACGTCACATACAGCACCACTGAATGCATGTAGTTGTTTCGATATTTCATACCCGAGGTAACAAGCTTACGTTTGTACGCAAGTTTACTCCAAATTCAACACAGGCACTTATAGTAGGATAGGTTATCACAATTTTTGCGGTGAATTTCGGTAGCATTGGGCCCACAGACTGTACCATTAGGTATCAGTTAATTCTAGCTACGCTGTTCCGACCGCTTAGAAAACGACGAAGAAATGAATTATGGAACGTTCTTAGTGTGTATCCCTTCCATCTAGCTTCACCCAGACCGAATCACATGTACTGAACGAGATAAGGTTTGATCGTCTGTCAGTAGCGTAGTCAGTCTGAGCCATTCCAGTCGGGGATATGATGTCTACATGGTCAGCCCCACCGATGTTTAACTGGGTCGCGATTAGATGCGCTAGGCCCAAATGTGGGAAACAAACCCAAGTGAACCACTCCACGAATGAGCCATCTTCCAAACATGGCGGTCTGCTTGGGCGCGGATCTTCCCCTGATCGATTTTAATGATTACGACTCTGGCGGCTACAGCGTAAAATCGCAGTTACCCATCTCAATACATTAGGATTTCCTCCGGTTTAAGGCAACTTGCAGAGGGTCTCATTTTATGGTTGCAAAGTTTGGCTTTTCCTATATGACGCACGTTTTGACAGTTGACACAGAGCAAAATACGAGTCGAAAAGGGTGCTGGTGAATTTTCGCACCATCCTAGTCGGATTCACATGCATCTCCTGTTTAAGAAATTTACAGGATGTGGCACCTTGCCGAGCACATTAGTAAACACGTCACCACTTTCTCTCTGGTTTACCTACCCAGTGTTCATCTAACTTTGTGCGCTTCACTGGCATGGTACTGCCTCAGTGACAATGGGGATAATGACGATGGTGATGTTGGTTGTGTTTTCAGCGATGATAATGACAAAAACCCTTCGTGAGTACCGAGTTTATCGGAAACAAACAGCTATTTCTTTCAGAGATATCCTAACTCAGGTTTTTACAAAACGATGGCACAAAAATTCTCTTTAGGTATGAACTCATACTTTGGATGCATCATTGATGTTTGCTTAAAATGAAACGCGGCTGTCACTAGTTTTGTATCTATCTATCCAAAGCAAATCTTTCTCTCGGCACGCGATTTTAGGACGACGGATTGTGTTCTGTAAACCCAGATAGCGTCAACTGGTTTTCATATTGCCCTATCATATCTCATATGCCTGATTCTGTCGGAGATGTTTCTTCCCTCAGTTCCTTCAGCAACCATGTATTCGCCAAACCAAATTAGCTGCTCTCCCGGTGAACTCCAACAACAGTGTGCATGAGATGGAAAATCCAAGCTTTCACCTCGCAAGAATACTCAGTTTGTGCTAACCAGACACAACTGCAATCAACATTTCCAGAATAACCGGAATCTGTTTGAGTCAAAGCTCTGGGCGCTTTAAACCTGAACATATTTGGATATGAATGTAATACCTGGTCCGAAATCCAGTTTCTTCATCCACACCACGATAAAACAAAGGATGCTTGTAGGCATCTTTGATATTCAAAAGTTCACCTGGGACCAAGAAAAAACACATCTTTTAATGAAGAGGAGACATGGACATACCCAATTTTTATTGGCAAACTATCACTTTTTTTTACACAGCTAAGTATATTAACGTTGGTTGGATCCTGCGAATAAAAGCTTCGAAATATTATGAAAAACTAAAAAGTGACCTTTCACATTATACTTTCAACCCCAAATATCTTATTTCACCAGTGATTCTCAGAGTTCTTTTTAATGAGGCCGTTATAATAAACGCTATATGAATTTCCGCTTTTTGAAGTCAGCAAACGCAAGCATTTTCCCACCTAGAAAGACATAGACACCTGATGTGTTCCCAGCTTTTCAGCAATGATATGTCTACGCTGCCCCGTTCAAATTATTACCCCAACTGTACATATTACGGGATGAATTCTCATATGGTTCATACAAACTATTTTGTTAGGTCTAAGGCCAATTTTTTTGACTAAATTCTGGGGTCCGTAGCTCATTTCCTGTCTAGTTCATTGGTAATCAAGTCCCCGAAATCGGGCCATTGTTAGGTTTTACCTGAAGCTCATAAAAAAACGTTATAATAAACGCTATATGAATTTCCGCTTTTTGAAGTCAGCAAACGCAAGCATTTTCCCACCTAGAAAGACATAGACACCTGATGTGTTCCCAGCTTTTCAGCAATGATATGTCTACGCTGCCCCGTTCAAATTATTACCCCAACTGTACATATTACGGGATGAATTCTCATATGGTTCGGTTCATACATTTTGTTAGGTCTAAGGCCAATTTTTTTTGACTAAATTCTGGGGTCCGTAGCTCATTTCCTGTCTAGTTCATTGGTAATCAAGTCCCCGAAATCGGGCCATTGTTAGGTTTTACCTGAAGCTCATAAAAAAACTGGAGATTCAAATAGGTTTTTCAGTGTGAGTTGCAGCAGCACGAAAGAGTCAGTGAAATCGCCTGTTGCTGAACTAAACTGTAATGTCTAATTGATTCAGTGGGGGCATATGTGAATATTGGCGCCTCAGTAATTACATACAATATTGCAACAAGTGAGAAAATTTTTTAGCCTTTCCTAAATCCAACTCAATATTACCCTGTGACTGGTTGCAATGAAACATTTTGCCCCCAAAAATTCCCATCCAGACAGCTGATTCCTCAAAACAGTGAAACAGCACTAGCTATTAAGTAGTCCACAATTTTATTGCCTAGCTGTCCAACTTTTTAATCAGTATAGAAATCAGCTCGTTTTTTATTGCTTACCTCAGAGTCAGCCCAATACCTATTCCTGCCACGCGAAATCGATACCGTATTGGCCTTCCAGATGCTCGTGTTTGCTAAGCAGTCAATCATATCTTATATACTGAGTACAATTTATAGGATACCTAGCACTTAAAACTTATCCCTGAACACAAAATACCCAAAACTCAATGTATTGGTTCTATTCTGTCAAATAAGGGAACACGTCAATGTAAATATGTGCCCAGATTTCGCGCCAATACAAATGGGTTCTGTTCAGTCTGTCAAGCAGTGGGTATTGTACATCGATGAAGCAATTGAGGTTTTCTGAATGGAATTCTACGATAAAACTGTACAGCAATAATGTGTCAAATGGTAAGTAGTAAACGCCTATCACGTGCTTTATAATTGGGATGGTTATCACTAAAACAAAGGCCTTGTTGAGATGAGCCAAGCAGTTGTATACTGAATCTAAACGTTTTCAATGGAAACAATATCCAGAGGTTGTTTTTGTGAGGTTTATTCAGTCAACTTCGCACAGGCGTGGGTCGCTACTCACTTTCAGGTTATGAAAGTGTACAGCAAACAAAAACACGAACAGGCAATCAATGGTCCTCCAGTTGTCAACAGAAGCCAACAAATCAGCTGTTCATCACCGTCCTATCTGATAAAGTTGCACTCCGGGAGGGAGAATTATGTCATGCTCCCACTTGTTACAGTTGGTTTAGCTACATGTCAATGAACAGATGCCTTTTTCGGCCTATTCAAAAACTGTTTTGAACATCATATCCAAAGTAAGAATTTTGAGGTCACGGTGCCCACGACCATTTCATTGCCGAGATGACACGTGTTGTCAGAGAAGTATTTTGGCAAAAGCTAATTGGGACATTTGAATAAACTTCATGCAACCGGAAAGACAAAAGTTGGTGACAGGCATCGAATCTAATACCTCTCACTTATCGAATGCACATTTGGTTAAGTGAGCATATGGACTGACTACAAATGAACTTCAGCTGGTCCCCCTGTAGATGGGTGTATCTTCATTAAGCCACATTTGCTACGGTGCATCCTAACAATGTTCGTCGTGCACCTCAGCTGCTTTCTTCAGTACTGTCAATTTAAATGACTTGAAAGCATACCTTCCCAAGGGTCTATGATGTCGTGGCGTGGCTCATTACACATGTCTGATGTGACCGCTGCCGCTCAACTATGATTGAAATGCCATCTTTGCTCACATTGAGACGGGGAACTTTGCGCACAAGCAAACGACAAAATATCCGTTTTTTTTCCAACGGAACGGAATGACTAGTAGAACTTGGATGAACCTAGGTCGCACGAAGGCCGACAAAATACCGTTTTTTTTCCAACGGAACGGAATGACTAGTAGAACTTGGATGAACCTAGGTCGCACGAAGGCATTGATTAAACTAGCTATTTAGTTAAAGCATTTCTTGAGTCCCTCATGACATTTGTGTCTATCACCACTTCAAACGGTCACACAGTAATAAAAGGTGTAATAAAAATGGTGAAAATCCATCGGAAATATGAAGAGATTCGCGAAATCGAACCGCATGAGCCAAGGGCGGCATTCTATTTCGAAGGTATAAACAAAAATACCATCTATCTCACGGCATCTACTCACCAAACGTAAAGAATGTACTGAACAATGCCCTGCTGAGGATAAATATGTTGTTACCTTGAGAGTGTCAACCCCACATTTAGTTTAAACTCATCATTTTAAAAAACCACAGCAGATTATGATATAACAAATACAGACTTTTGCACGTACCTTAGATCGTTACCTGCAGCTCGCCAAAACGGGTAAAATTTTAGGGTTTTCACAGAGCTCAGTCTTCATTTAGCCCTCCCAGAATATCGCAAGAAACGAAATTCCTGAAAGAACGTTCGTTTAAGTCGCACTTTCGTTCGGTAATAATCCTTCATCAGAGGATCTCTCGTGAGATTTTCACAACGCTGCTTAACTGGTTACAGTGCGTCAATGATGTACAATCTCAGGTATGGTATATGCATTACACAGTTTAGCTAACGGCTTCACCTATATATAAGGTGGCTAGGTCATTGCTAGTATCTGTCATGCACGTATACGTTACCCGTTACCTTCAGAAGCAAACCACTCTACCTTCAAAAGCTTACTTACACTGGTTTATCACTTTCTGTGATTAAATAACAATATTTGTCTAAGCCCCCGGCAACTACGATACATTTTGGTAGATGATAAATACAAAATTTTGATGTTTCTCTGATAGGTTCATAAAACCAATACACTTGGTGATACTTGGTGTGGTACAACATTGTTACACTAATTTTACCTGAATAAAAATTAGACCACTATTTGTCTATTATCGTGACATCCACGAGCAATTCTAAACGGTTTTAGAATACTTTATTCCGGTTTTCAGACTGTCCTAAACCGTCTCACAAGGACTCACCTGTTGTGGCCACGTTACCGGCTATTCCCTGGTCAGGATTCAAACGAATCTCTTCTGGTAGCTGCGAATGTTTAAAACACAATTATTCAGTAACTCGGATTTATTACTGGTTAAGCTTCCAGTACACATCACATCAGTCTTGGATCGTGCTCATTACCAATAAAGTGGTAAGTCGAGCTGCAAAATATTAACCCAAAGAATAAGGAAGTTTCTGTACATTTCTCGCACACGAATCTTGCAATTTTACGACGCCCGCTCTGATGGGACATTTTAATGATCCACATCAAAGCATAAAAACCTTGCCTTATAAATTCTTGCTGAGTGAAAAACCTTGATCATTTAGTCATTTGAAGTTATGAAGTGCGTTTCAGTCAGTCGACACATTTTGAACAATGAATGAGCCGTCTGATGCATCGAAAGCTAAACTTCTCACTAATTTGGATGATAGTCATGACATGCCCAGTGTACAGCTTCGGAGTGGTGCAAGTACGATGTCCTTGTACGACAGATGACTGCGTTCCCCTTTCCGGTGCGCTCAAAGATGAGCACTGTCCAGGAGCACTCATAAGACTGAAACTTGAGTCCTTAGCTCCTACTCTGTGGCAAAAAGTCACCAAAATACCCCAACCAGGACGTAAAAGGGGAAGTTCAAGTTTCACTATCACCATTCTCACAAATCCATGAGAAAGGAAAACCCAAGTAATGGATGGAAAAACACAGAGTTGGAGCGGAAATGTTCTGTTCTTAAGGAAACTGACCACGTGTAAGGTGCCTCACATTTGGATAACATTTATATGAATGTGTCCGAGCGTCGTTTCGAATCACGGAGCTATCACTGCGACTGATCCAGCGTCTTTTTCGGACTTCAACTCACTACTTCAATGAAAGCAAGGTACCCACGAATCCATGTGCAAACAACGGACAAATTTTGGAACATTATGAGCAGCTTATTTAGACAAGGACTAGAAGGAACATTTTCCAGGAAAGATGTTACGATGAGCACATATTGTGTCGTCTGAATGGATCAACCCATCTGGCTACTTCTCTCCTTGTTAAGCTGAATTATTTCGCTGAGTGGAAATGTTAGTATGAATTGTGGTTACGACTAAAATACGGCAAGTGCTCGTTCGTAAAAATGGGGTCAAACTGGTGTTCACATAGTTAGAAGAGTGATCGTTGGGATACAGGTTACCGCAACTTCGGTTATAATTTATGTTGTTCGTACCCAATATAACTGTAAAAGTGATGATTTTACAGAAGCCAAACATATCTGATTCATCAATCAATGTTCATCATCAACCAATGTTCACCAGCGGTAACTCACCGTTACAGTCGTGCCCTCGGATGTTGTGACAGTATAGCAACGGTCATCTTCAATCCCGTACCGCATAAGTTTTCTGAGTGTAACCAATCTGGCCATCTTTAGTAACAACTGGTTGACGGTTTTGTGTACACGTTTGAGTGACTACGGCAGTTAGTATATTTAGGTACAATTAATTTTTTTTCCAGGTGCGAAGTTATTGCAGTTGCGTTTCCGTTTTAGAAAAACTTGCTACCCTATTTAATTTATTCGCTGCGTCAGACCGACTGACATACACGACATCGAACTAGCCGTTACCAAACTTTTTTCTGTAAATGTGTGGATTCCCTATGGTGTGCCTCGTGAGGTGTGACGTAAATCAGATATGCGCGTAATATGGCCATTAAGACTGACGAAGACACGCAGATCGAATTCAATTTGCTCCAGCGAATTTCTGAAATGACAACTGCTGGTGATCCTCCAGAAGGATGAAAAATTTGTGCAATGCTTCTAGGCTTTTTGGCACATCCTGGCATCACTTACCGGATAAAATCTCGCCTACTTGATTTATGTTCGCCGGACATCGTCTATTCCATTTAACTGATATGACCGGCTTTTTGCTGACACATACCATCTCCCATATTCGTTTTTTATGCGTCGTTGTTTACCAGCAGCTTATCGAAGCAGTTTATACGCTGACTGGACTAAAACCGGTGCTTTGAAACTACTTTTGTGCAGCAGAATACCTAGGTGTTTTCCTGAAAGGACTTAGCAGCGCTATCCTGTGTTAATAGAACAATTAGCATCCGAACAATCTCATCCATTATTTTCGGTCACTTAAAGAAAAACCATACAGTGGATGTTAGGACCACGAGGTCAAAGTTGTTTTTCTGAAGCTTTTATCCTCGAATATCTACAAAATTAGCCATCTACAAGTTAGCCTTTCCTACTCACCGACGTTTTACGAAATTTGATGCCTGGTAGATCGGTTTATTTCAATCGGGACGCGCTGATTAGACAACCTGTAAGAAAACTGATATTATGAAATTGTGGAACGCTATGTAACAAAAATTAAGAAGTAACTTCACGAAATGGTTTTATTCAGAAACACGCGCCTATACATAGTTTCCAGGTTGCATATTGAACCATTTACAGGTAAACTGCGTCTCCTTTGGAAAATAGCCAAAACACGGTTATGCTTTTTGGATCAGAGGGCTATTACTGGCTTGGTGTCCAGTTCTCCATTGTACCATAGATTCCATAGTTTTTTTCGATGCCCTGTGCGTTGAAACTCCGTTTACTTAAGCTGAGCTCATAATGACGTTTACATGGAGTATAGTTTCGCAGTGTTGTTAGGCTCGTTGATTTCGCGGTCGGTGGCCTCGGCCTAACATATCGTCTCCACAGTATCGGACTAGGCTTAGCCGAATAAAGTGTTGTTGTCAAGACGAATGTTTGCCGAAGACTCTCGCTCGTCAACCCGTTAATCTGCCAGTACTGGGTTTGATGTTAAGGTCATGTGCATAAAAACTCATTGGGCCAATTCAATTTACCTAATTGGCACCACGTGGACGAAATCCACGAGGATCTGTTGATCAATTTTAAAGGTCGAATTTTTCTTGTGTGGGATCGCACTGACGTTCTATCCGGGTACCACAACAATGAGGACTCTATGCAGTGTGTTGATAAATAGGGAGACCACAACAAGTACCAGAGTATGTCTGCACTATGGGACCATCTTCTGAAACAAATCCTTCTATATGACCTGCTCATCGACCCATTCTGCAAACTTCAGTCACTCTCCATGAGAACCTGTTCACCAAAGACCTTTGAGTTAACGTATTTTGAGCATCCTTGAAAACCTGAGTTCATTCAAACCACTTACATGGTAATGCGACAAATTGATGGAAATATATTACCGGGATCTTACATAGGCAGAAATTTTGGTGAACTTACATTTTTGTGGGGAGAGGTTGGAAGTCCATCCAGAACTTTGGCGACTAGCGTGTTTGTCTCTCGATCCAAAAGGAAAACGGAGCATCTGCAAAGAGGCGATTTAGTGGCTTCCAAGGGGACCATGTCTGGTATTTCATATTTGCACTATATCCTGGTTAAACAGTTCTGGGAACTACTGGTAAGCTTCTTCTCAGATTAGAAACATTAACAGTACTAGTTTTGGTTCGTCCGTACATATAAATTTTCGCTCATATCTCATGACTCTTCCAGACTCTTCTACTGTCCCCAATTTCACGGATGAAGTACTTTTTGAATGGACAGGACAAAAGGCATCTCCTATTCTCTAAGCGGTATTCATCAATCACAAAGAAGAGTAGCACATACAAATTACATCCTCTAAGTTTCATATAATACGTTGCGGCTAATCAGGTGGGCGCACTATCACGGTTTCCGTCAACCTTTCTTATACTTGAAACAAAACTGCACGAAATTAGCGAAATACACTCATTTGCAAGCAACATTGGTTTTGCGAGAGACTCACCTGGAACCCACCTGAATCTCTCGCTCATGATGTTACTAAGCAATTGGATGTGCTGCACTAGGCCGCCTCATGTTTCAGCTGCAACGATCTTCGAGATATCGCGATATATGTATACAGGGAATACACTGCTCATAAGGTTGCTGAAAAGGTTTCGACAGCCCACGACTGGTTTCACCATTATCGGGGCCCGTCAGGTAGGCGCATACCCCCAGTTACCGTCAAACGTACGTTTTAATTAGAACCATCAGGACGAGAGATTCAGCTGGGTTCCAGTGAGTCTCTTGCAAGACAAAATTTGATTGCAAATGGGTGTATTTCGCTAATACATTGCGGCCACCTTCTCTCATACTGGACAGCACAACTGTTGTCCATAAACCAACTACATGATCCCGATACAGTTAGAACTTAAGCAAGGAGACCATATGATTCGGGCGTTGTCTCATCACGTAAACAGCAGTATGTGACAGCAAATTTATGATGATGAGAGTCTTAGATGCGTCTATGGTCGCTGATCGAGTAACCGTTGCTCTGTTCGTCGAGTTTGTCAACTTTTTCGCGAAGGTTTCGTCAACACTCGAGGAGAATTCAGATCGCAAGAAAGTGGGTTTTATTAACTATTGAATAAACGTTTGCATTCAGTCTTCAGGCTTCAAGAATAGATGCATGGGCACCTGATCGACACTCAATGAATTTGATAGAAGTACCAATAGTTCTTCACATCTCCAGCAATTTCTAGCCTTTTTACACTTAACACAGTTTGTTGACAGGTGATTTTCACGGGCTGAGAGACTTTTGCACAACAGCTCAACTTCCTGCACGAATGCTTGCGTAAATGGTCTTCTGCGTAGGGTAACCTTTCTTCAACCAATAAATCATTCGCAAGCCTGGATACTGGCTTGACAAAACGGTAAACGGATATTCAGACGGATGATTACGAATGCTCACAACCACATGAGAAAGTACGAGAGAAGAGTAACAGAACGTAAGGAGACATGCTTGGGAACAGCATGAGTTGGACTTCTGCAACAACATCATTGCAGTAGAAGCATTAAATCTGTTGCTGACAACATGAACAGTTAGGAACACAAAGTTTTACTGTCATTGATGATTTGGTGGCAGTAAACACAAAACAACGACAAGTACCTTTAATCAATGATCCCATTTTTCATTTTTATGATCACCAACCTGGAGTATCTAGCCAGTTTGGAGGCGGCAGTAAAGTAAAAAAAAACTCAAAGAAAACGCCCCGACAAACCAGTTCACGTAACAGAACAATCTACCTTCCTCCAGCGAAGAAAGTAGCACAGAGTAAAGTGAAGAGAAGAGCAATTATCCTCAACGTACCGTTCGATAAGTGACACCCGAAGGTCATAAGACTCTACTTACCTGCACGAATAGAGTGATCGAAGCAAAAACTCACAAACAATCGTCATTAACACGAAGATGGTTTCAAATGTTTTTTTTTCAGGTATATCGTACAAACCTATATCTGAACACTGAATCTAGTGACTCAAGTTCTTTAAAAGAGTGTGAAAATCGCACTGAAAAATGGGAGCCAAAGACCTGACCATTCGTCTCTTCTGTGGAGCAATGGACGTCCTTATAGGGGCGATACCACCACCACGACCAGCCATATCACTGCCAGGGTCTCTAAAAAACAGTGCTTGAATGGACTGCAGAGAAAGTGGAAACAACTTTTCAGTGGACCCACTGATCAGTTAAAAACGCAGGCCAATCTTTGGGAAATTGAAGAACGTGAAAATTCGAAAGGATAAATTTTCGGTCTTATTTTATAAGGGCTCATCTTTTACATCTGTGAACCTCGACTCGAGCCATATTCATAGGATTAACAGCGCAGAAGCTGGAACAGATTAAACTTTTGGATACAAATACAGAAAGATGGAGTCACTTCGTGGACGATATATATTTCGTCATCAACCAATCAACACGTAACTAGCTAATACGTGGCTCAGGGGACATGCAGTTCAAAATGATAGAAGTAACTGATGAAAAAAAAATTCTATTCTTGAATTTTCTTATCAGGAGATATCAAAAAAAGACAGCTGTAAACCGGAATTCAAAAAGGCAACGCATACAAACGAAATCCTGAGCTACCACAGCATTCATACTAACTGTCATAAAACAGATGCATCAGGACACTTTTCAAACGGACTGAGATTCACTCATGAAGCCTAACTTCACAGAAGGAAAGTCCTTATGCACCAAGTTTCGAAGAAATATTCACCCGAAAAACCTTATCCCTTGAATTCACAGGAGACGCATATAAGCTAACAATTCAAGAGAAGGCAAACTAATCACACCCGTAAATCGGCAGCATTTTGGGAGTGACTAGAAGATTGTTATGACAGCATAACAGAAGCTGCAAACAGCCAAAGGCAAGATAAAAATGGAACATAATCGCATGAACCAATTTTACATACAATTTCCAATGTAAAAGTACGTGTAAAGTGTGAAGGAAGTTCTCTTTGAAACTAGATGAACAAACAATTGCTGCTAGGAGACGTTCAATTTTCGCTCGCCACCAGGGCGAACACGAAATTGACTGGAATCAAGTTCATATATCGACCAAAGCAATAACAAATAAAAGGACGCATATCACGGGAGTAAGACGCCTCTAAAAGATTATCCACTCGACCTGTGAACTAGTGGCGAAATGAACTATAAAGTTAGAATGCTCAAAGGTGCAAAAGAGACCAAAACAGTCATATCCAGATCAACGAACCAGAATAAACGGAGAAAAATGAAGAAATTCTCCAGAAAAAGTGTCCGAATAACTAATCAAGCGTGATGGGTTCTCCAAGAAGAGATTAAAGATAGCGTCAATCGGAAAAGCGTTACTAGTGAAGCACTTAAACAAACAACCTGCAACACGAATTGGAAACCACTTCATCAGATAAGGGGTGGAAAACCTTTGAAAAGTTGCCTCAAAGTATCAGTTGAATGTAAGCTGTACGAAAAAATGCCCAACGCAAATAGCAGGATAGCAGGATACTTGTCCTCATTTATCGGGTTATGTCAATAGATAATAGTTGGTCTTTGAAAACCGTGTGAGCACGCGCAGTTGAGAAGGTACTGCCCAACCGACTGCTGACTCGATTTGTTTGGGTGCTAGTTTCAGGTCCGGAGGGCAGAACAGCAATAAACTAAATGACAACCAGAAAATCTTTCTACATAACTGATATACCCGAGTGGTTTGCCGATAGATAAACCATGATCTGAGGGGTTAATAGGCCATTAAGAAGGTCACTGTGGCCTTTGATATCTCAATATATAAGTTGCGGCATTTCATTTGCGGTTGCCTCTGCGACTGTAGTTTCATTCTGTCACATGAGTCACTGATCTGACCATCCAAAAACCGTTAAATGTTTTTTTCCGGAGCGGGAAATTGTTCTGTGTTTATTGCCAGCTACTGCATGTGTCCTGGAAACTCCGTACGATTGCGCAATCAAGAGTCAAGTCTTTGGAAGTGACCACACATTGACTATTCCCCCGGAGAGTTTGGGGCCACTTATCCGTGGCATCAAATGGAAAGATTCGCTCAGGTTTGTTCGCTGAGTAAAAACATAGTAAAAGTGCCATGTGAACTGTACGGCACAAAAAATGATCCCTTTCATTGACGTTGATGTAATAAGGTATTACAACTATTATCGCTGGAAGAAAAGCGCAAATTCAAGCACTGGTTTGCTTTCGCGAAAGAGCACCACCAACAGGCGTCTTCTAGGGACGACGCGCACAAACAATTCCTTTCTGGGACACTGAAGGATGCTCTTCTTCCTTCGACACTTTAAAGAAGACAGTTTGGATTCCTGTGTTGCTCAACTAAGCCTACTGCTGTTTCGAAAAAGACTACTTTTTCATGACCGATGCTTCTATGGTTTACGAGTGACTAAGGTCTCAATCAATGGATATAGCTCAAATATATTTGCGATCCTCCAAAAGTGGCAGTACTCAACCCCAAAATCATATAAAACTCAACGATAAGATGCATAAGAGATGAAGTTAATTACATTTAACGGAGGTCATTCGAGTTATTGTCAGATAGACTGTTTTTCCCATATATTGTTGGTGGTTTCGATGGCTCATCACAACTGTTTTCCAAATCATAGTAAAAAAATGAACATGCAACCAGTTTAATTTAATTGTGCAGGTGGAATAGTAAGGTCGGTCATCGGTAGGACGACTCTTGCATGTCACTCGTGATTCATTATATATAGGCGGGAAGTGACTACTGGAGAACCACACATGAACTTACCGTTCAGCTTTGGTAAGGTTCCGCGCCTCTTGCATAATCATCAGCAATAGGTCCGTCAAATCCATCATGTGTGTGAAAATGCTTCCAGCAACTTTCAGCATTTCCTAAAATGATGATGACTCATAGTCATACTGGCCGCATTTACTGCTTTAAACATAAACTTGGTTAAGATCATGGTCTACCCTTGGGGCCAGAAGTATTCTCATTACACTTCGATGAGCGTACCAAGAAAAACGACCTTCTATACCATCTCGTAAGGCTGATTATATGATTGCCATGTGCTGCAACTCCTCAAGATGCCGATGCGCTTTCTGATATGCTCACAGTCCTGTATTGTGCGGTCGTTCCGGGATCAGGCATAAAAAAAGAGGGACATTGGCATCTGAACAGCAGAATAAACCCACTATCTGATTATGGTTTGATACAACAGTACTTATTGGATGGAATGGTGGGTTTATCTCCACAAGTTTTTCATGCATACAAAGAATTTCGCTTACTGTACTGAGATTTTCAATATTTAGGTATTCAGTCAACGTCAAACTGTCATGGTCTGCTGGGCTTCAACTAAAAGACTATTACAGCCAAATCGAAGCAAGCACTGTTGCATAGCTCATTCGTGGTGCTTGTCTCGGTCAGTCACCTGCGGTCAGCAAAAAGACTCCAGGGTTACGCTGAACCTCACACAGCAGATACGAATATCATATCACCCTAGGGGTAAATGCTTTCATAGGGGTTTAGTTATCTAAAGCATGTGTGTCCTTCCATATAATTTTTTGAGCAGATATAAACGCACCGGGAACGGGGAAGTGTATTCGCACAAATATTCCAACAAGCGAGGTAACGTCAGCTTCAATATTCGGAAAGTCGGAAAGTCGGTTGCAATAGAAGCTAGTTGATGTCACTTGTTCTAAGCCAACGTCTGTCACCAAAAATGTGTATTTTCCTATCTCTTTTGACCACAGTTGACTACTTCTGTTAACTGCCTCCCAGGAAATTGGTATTATTCTAGCTGTTTTTGACTGAGTCGAAAATTCTCTGAATGAGAATTTTTGGTCCACATGGGTTCACAACTTTTTGCCTGAGTGCGTGCCTACATGAAAGCATTCACATACCATTCTCTGCCACTCCCCATCTTAATATATTGGTAAGGAGCTCTCAAATTTACTGAGGAGGAAGCGACGGAATCAACGTTGCGACACCTGGTTGAATATTTTTCTAAACTGTCCCTCAGACGGGATGTCACCAGGTTTTTAAGCTCAAGCACCCTGTCACAGTTTTCAGTACAAAAGTACAAATCGAACCACATATGTGGGTATGCCGAACAAATCGACCGGACGATTGGGTCACCTAGCATTAGTGCTTAAATACGAGCAACAGCGCTGATTTATCGATCAATTAAAATGCCAAATGCCAATCAGTTATTCTTTACTGGATGGCTGTGTATACAACGATAGCAGAAAATGTCAGAGATTGCCATTTCATACAACATCATGACTTGGCCCATTTATGAAAATGGCAGTACCATGAAAATCACTCAATGAACAAGGTAAAGTCAGCTGTGACACCTGTTTGCGACGATTAGCTGTGAAACGCGACAGAAAACCTCTTGCTCGAAATTCGGCTCGCCGTTTCTAGACCTTGCTTGCTAGCACCACTGAAACACATTCTGCATATTTCATGTTCCTCCAGGTTAAGAATACTCTCCTGGTACCCATTCAACATGGGTATGTTACTATTTTTGTTACCAAGCCTCACAGCGTACAATCCCGAGACCTTGACTAAGAAAAATATTTTCACAAACCATCGTTCGACAAAGTACCTGGTTCATCACTTTCTGTAGCAATTTTTCATTCTGACTGTCATCCATAGCGCTAAATTATTAGGAGGTCCTTATGGATATCGGACGAACACATGATAGTGGCTACTTTTACAGAAATAGCATTTCCAGATGTAAAGAATAATACGATATCCATTTTACAGAAGGCACAGGTAGGATACAAAAGTCCAATCTGTATGAAAGTCACTGGTCTAATACAGTTTTGTGGACATATCTTGGTGAACTCAATAATAAGTGGATTAGTATAAATTGCAGATTTTAGCAACCCGTTGTATGGCGATTTTAGAAAGGCTTGGAGAACATATCCGTTTAGTTTTAAGATGGTGAAACTGTTCCCATAGGAAAAAAATTGTAAAGAGTTTGTTACGCAACTGGTCTTGTGACTATGCATGAAATGCGCAAAACCTTGTCACTGAAAATTTCTACCCTACTATTGTTCTAGTATTTTAACTGCGTGACATGCAATCCTCTCCATGGCACAGAAAATAACCATGTAATTGCGATTCGTCAAAATCTTCAGAAGGTCCGAGCAAATGATTCAAGGTTTTCAAAGAGTTTGGCCTGCATTTCGGATCCTTTATTGCGTTTCCCGCTAATCTGAGTTCACTTTCTAACCGTATCCATTGAGCCACTTCAAATGGATTTTATAACTTTTGGCAATCATCCATTCCAAGATTCTCCAATGTTCGGCTACTTTTCATTCAATGCACCATATTTAGGGCCACATCTTAGCAAAACATCAAACCGCTAGAGTTCCGTCATAAGTAAAATGAACCGTCATACGTCAAATGCAAATTACAATAATTCTGTCTTCTGCCCAGTGAGGGAAAATGGACTGGAGTGAGACAACTGCGTGTCAAGGTGAGATCTAGGAACAGTGTAGCTTAGATGCCGTTTCGACCGTCTGTATATTTGGGTTAGCCGCATTACTGCGTTCGTCCTACATTGTTGAGCCATATTTTGAAACCGAGCTTCTGAAGGCAGGAACGTGATTGCACTGTTTACCAGTTTTCGGGCCGTTTGAGGAGATTTACTGTTGCAGTTATGGCCTTAGTGCTTCGCTATCAATTCGTACCCCGATCCTTTGGACCGTTACCATCATGCACATGGTTGAACAAAATCGTCTCCGAGGGACAAATAGTTCCCTGGTATTCGGAGCACGTAATCTATCCAACGCGACACATGTGGTGTCAAAAGCTCGATTTTTGCACGCGAACTTTTCCCTCAAAATTATTTATTGATTAGGTATTTTTAGTGGACGCGTGGTCGCTAATGGTCAAAAACTGAAGGGTTTTGGTTTTTGAACCGTCCAAATGTAGTTTTAAACACTAAACGTTTTCATCCGCTGCCCTTGATCAAAATGTTTAAAGTGAGGTTGTGGGCGTCACTGGCTGACAAAAGGCATCTTTGCACTGGCTAGACAACCAAGCTTAGTACAACCAACCTGCAAAATGAACCGACTGACTACACAAGTCAGTCATTTGTATGTATTAGGTTAGGATTCAGGCCTAACGGGTCTTGCAGCAGCGCTTTTAACCCTTTAGTTCTCAAGTACATATGAAATCGTGCAACAAAATGTTAGGATTATTTCTTATTGTTTGCACCTGTTTAGGAAGTCTTATGTCGTTCAAGTGCCCAGTGTTTACACGCTGACGTCGTAGAAACATCTTAACCCACGTCATCAGAGGATGCGCCCAGGATTGAACAGTTTTGCCTTGTTTATTAGCAGTTAGTTTACGAGGCCTTTCTTTGCTGTACTTGCAAGGGTTGTAGTGTATCCCTTAATTTCTTCTAAGTAGGAGGGAATCAACCAGGTATATTTTGGGAGGCGGGCCCTGAATTTTCACACTATAACATGCTTAGTATTGATTTCCGTGCCCAAAAACTAACGATGTCCTAGAAAATTGACTGTATATTGCAGCTCATAACCTCACCATCAAACTGGATTTTAAATTCTAAATGGTACCTTCGAACTAACCAGTGCAAACGTTTGTGATAGACACAGGCCAGTTAAAAACAGATGAGAGCATGACTGAAGAGGCCGCCGCTGGTTGTCTGTGCCACAGGCTTCTGCTTATCATCGACCACCAAGGTTTAGTTTTGTGGGCGTCAGTCTACCACCTTGAGTATTTATATCACCCGCAGGATTAAGATCCTCATTGTTTTCTATTTGAACAAGTAACTCGGATAGAACTTGATAGAGAGTATCTTTTCAGGTGTCTCAGCTGACTTCACAAATTCGTCCTGGTCGCCGGGTCGGTTGGCATTGAATGCAGTTGAAGCAAACAGCTAGATAGCGGGACACAACTATCTATGGGAATCCATTTAAACAGAGCGTTCCAGTCTTGGGGCTGCTTGTAGCCTACACCAAGTTTATAACACGCAACATACCCAATATTATAAATCGCATTCATCAAAAACCCAGACTGAAGTGTAAAAAGCCAAATTGGTCACAGATTTTCAATATGTATGACCCAGCTAGAGTTCTGCGTGTGTTCGCTGGACACAACACCCATAAAATTTAATAAAAAAAAGAGGCCTGTTGGTTGATTGCACACTGAGTTCGCAAGCGAAATGAATCCCTTAGACTTGTCAGAGTATCGTTTTGCTTTATTTTATTGAGTAATGAGTCGTATGATGGAATTCGATAAGAGAGATGACAATAATCTAGGAGCCTTTGTTAGCGGGACGGAGAGGGGTTGCGTAGGATATCAGTAGACGAAGTGTCAGTCATAAACCCTGGTTGCTCAGACTAAAAAAAGAGATACTCGTCCCTTGTCTGACCACAAAGTTTCTACTGGATTTACCCCTCCGTAGTGGGTAGTAAGTCTTTCCTGAGGAACGGCAACAGCAATCACCAAGCCGAAAGACTAACCCACTCGATTGTGGTAGGAGAGATGTCCTAACCCCTAAGTAGGAAGTAAGGCCTGAAATCTCAGTACGAATGCTGCTGAGCGTAGTAGACACGGTTTTTAAGGTACATCGGTCCCTCCTTAACATTTAGTAGCTTCTCTACCGCATCAAATGATCCACCTATTGGCACAGACAGTCATCCGACGATCAAATGGTCGCCTAAAAATCACTATCTTCACGCTCTTATCGGACAATAAGTCACAAAATAAATCTAATAAGGTGACCATCATGCACGAGTCTTCCTGTCTTGCCTGAAAGACAAGCTCTGCCTTCTCACTTTTAGGGAGAATTTCTTTATGAAGTTGTCCAGAATGTCGCTGCAACTCTAATGCCCAACCGCCGCGTCAAATCAGTAAATTCGCTCATTAAATTTAGCCACCTTTTTAAAGAGCGACAAAGATGTGTCCTACGATCACAAGCAGTAATATGAGGTGGGTTGCAATATCTAACAATTTTAACGTCCATTTATCCGAAGACACTTAAATGAACAATAGTAGTGACTGTCCCCACAGGCACTCAATTTAGGGCAGTCAGCTGCTGATTTGCCCGTCCTACATTCTTGCTTACCTATCGACCTACCGTTCATCTTTCATTATTCACCAACCATCTCAATGTCAACGTTAATCAGGTTAGCGTTCCAATTATGAAAATAGTTCTCAGTCTGCTTTTGAACCGCTGAGCCACACTGGATACTGGCGAGTAATCAGGATGCTTACTCTGAGTGGCCTTCGGTCATCACGTATGACAACACAGCTACCAAACCATGGGTCGGATGAAACGGAACGTTATTGAGTCAAAAACTTTTTCCCTAAATTTTCTTGTATTCCCATGCCGACAGATAACAATAAAAGTTTGCCAAACGAGTTTTCTACGGTAGTGGGTGAGGTAATCGCACATGAGACGGACACCACAGAACACTAAGCCACAACTCACCAGTAAATGGTTGATGTTCAGAGTGACCTTGTCTTCGCAGCCAAACGCAACAGTGCTACTGGCTATCCTACGTGGCTGTGTGTTGATTGCTGCCCGAGAAGTCATCAGTTCTCAACATGGTTGTTGACACGTATCCAACGCATTTTGTTTTTTGTCGTACCGCACACATCTAAACGTAGCCCCGATTCATGTTTACTACATGCCTACAATGTAATCACAACTAGAGGGATGGTCATATTTTTGGCAAATGAGTAACTACTCGCTGATGCTGACTTAGGTTGTAAGTAAACGTCGTGGTGAACCCATGTAGATTGCAATCAATCTTTGAAGTTACCACATGGAAAATTAGTCGCAAACTTTGGATTTCTCTCACCACTTCCAAGACCAATGAACGTTCGGGCATCAGTCCGCTGCGGTAGCACTCAATATCCGTCCTCACATTTACTTGCGAATTCCTTCCTCCCTCTAATGTCATTCCGCTTGAACGTCCTTCATTGCGCTAATCAAAGTCACGGTGTGAAAAATGACTAGGCTGCGTGACAGATTAGAAAAGCCGGGTATGGCATACTAACAGGTCAAAAGAACGTTCTTCAGACTGAAACTCCACTGTTTTTTAGTGTTAAATGAAGTATGAAGCTAATTTGCAGCAGTCTGATTTATCCATCCGTTAAGTGTTTCGATGCAAACGCCTCACCCATTTGTCTCAAGGTACCTCACCTCCGGAGTCACTCCTTTAACTGTGCGCTTATGAGCAGCACTGCAGTTTTGATCACATTTATCGGGTTTGACTGCGGTAACAATCCATCCACTATCAGTAAAACAACACTGTCACAAATGAACAAACAAGCTGATGATTTCCCAAAGGGAATAGGGTCTTGAATGTCTACATAGTAGAACGCAAAATTTTGTGGTTCAGAAAACAGCACTGACAAGCGAATTAATCGACAGTTTTGTGATGTTTGCAAAAGGTTTTGTTTCAAAAAAGAAAAACACTAACAAGGGAAACGCTAGAAGCCATAAAGTCAGATGGATTGTCATGATACTGAGATACAAAACCTCTTATTTTCAAGTTGTTTTTTACTTACAATGTACCCAAACAAATTTCACACACGGTCACAATCTATTCGCACATCTGCCTGTTTGGATACTGGCATGCGATATTTTGTGGGAAAATCGTTTGCCATTATTTCACTCGCACTGACCATTGATCAAGAACAGGGAATGCTCCAAAAATCTTTGAATGTTTTATTTTTCATGGTACACGCACCAAACTCTTACAAGCTATTCTTTTGCTTACCATTTGACCGAAGCGCTAGGATACACCCAGAAAAGGCTTTAAATGTCTCCGCTAATCAAGTTAGCTGCTCAAGTTAATTAAAAATTAGAAGTGGCGCATGCAAGGGAATATAATGGTCAAAGTTAGAATGACTAAATCGAAATGAATAACATCCGGCTGAATAGAAATATTGATAGTTTGACCAGACTTACGTCAGACCGTGCTGTATTTGCCCGCTCGTTCAGATATGCCAGAGAATAACGCAGTAGCGGTAAGGTATATAGCATACACTCTTGAACGATGTTCTCGTCGGTCGGTGTAAACCTTCAAAAGTAATATATGATTGCGGCAGCGTGTTAGGAAACATATGTTCTGTCTCCATTTCGAGAATAACGTAAACATGGTATAGCGAGTAATAGCGTACGTGATGCTGTTAAAGAAAAAAAAACCTCATTGTCTAGATTTGAACTAATGGGCACTTAGGAAGCAGCCTTGCACGACAGATTTACAGTTTGACCATACCGAACAAGGATGTAATCTGTTCCACAAGGGTTAATAACACAAGGCTGGAAATAAGAGCAAAAGACATTCTGAAGTATGTTTTAATTTCATTTTTGGGGATTTGTGCCACCAAAAACAGACGAACTTCTACAGAGTTGTAATCTGGAGAACAAAAATATTTTCAGCATTTTTGGGGATTTGTGCAATTTTAGCCACCAAAAACAGACGAACTTCTACAGTGTTGTAATCTGGAGAACAAAAATATTTTCACAAGTAAACAGTCAAATGAAAACTGATAAAATGCTGGTGACATTTTTCAACTAGCACACCCTCCTGGTAGTAAGAACGAACCTACTTTACGCAAATTGGTAAGTTCAAGGTGCACATGGTTTCACCTACATACACTTCTGCGACCAAAATTATTGCTGAACTCTATGCCAAGTACTGATTGAATTGGATAAAAAACCACCAGCCACACAAAGTTTATTTAAGTTAAAAGTAGTGGATTCCATCCATTGTGTTTTCAATCTGGTGCACGTGAAAACTGGTCTTTCGAAACCATAGCACTGTTAGAAGAAATCATCCAAGTTTCTTGACAACATAATTAGGTGGTCGGCACAGGCAAACAACGTCAAAGGCTAGTTTGGTATTTCAATCTAGAGAAAACTGTACGAGGAAACAGCCGGGAAATGATTATTCCGAGAGTCAATAGAGAATGAAGACAACTTCGATTATCTGATGGCGTCGGCTATGCATGTATACGATATAGAAGTGCAATGTTAAATTGCACTTTAAGTAGCTCACAAACTACCTAATTCAAAAGAGAAAGAATTTGGGATCGAGTTCTGTCCCTGACCTCATTTTACTCACATTAGTTATAATTGTCGACCAAGTTTACCCTATCCCGTGTTCCAGTCTCTGTCACTGTCCTTGAGAAAAGCTTCAAACAAATGTCCCCTGGATGTCTTGAGTGTGAAACTAAAAAAATGGACGAAAATCGCACTGGAAGCTTTACATGACTACTATAACAAATGCCTGTGTGCTATGTGAGCTAACACCTTTGGTACTTCACGTGGGAGACCTAGCTTGGTAAGCGACATGTTCAGTGTTCGCATTCCGTATTTGAGAGTCTAGTTTCTTCGTTTCGCCAGTGTGTACACACTACGACATGGTTTATTGTCTCTGCAGGTAAGCGTGCACACTACATGGTTTATTGTCTCTGCAGGTAAGCGTGTGGTGGTCATGATGCTGAGAGCCCGCGCTGTTTTTCGCGTATGTGCTACCCTTGAACATGTAGGTTCATTACTCAGGTTCTCAGATTTCAGGCCGTTAGAAGCATACACTTTAGGTTGGCGAGTAGGTTACCGCTATCCGTAATTTCACCTTGTGATGTTTGCCTTTCTAGAAATGCTTGTTGTGTAGTGTTTTGATATGAGAGACCACTTTTCCCCTCGTATAATTGAGCATGTAACGAAAACCGCAGGAACAAAGCTACTCACTCTGTAGTTTCTTGCTTATTTAGTAGGAAAATTATCCCAATTAAACAGCCAGTACTTGGTCCAAAAAATGGGCAGCACAGCATCGAATGGACTTGTAGGGGTGCTTCAAATTCAGGCGAAAATTCTGACGCAGCAGCCTGAAGTTGAATAGACTTTCCAGTTGTGCGAAGTAGGGTTGAAATTGTCTTCACGTGGTCCTAAAGTTAAATAAATGAGTTTATCATTACGCTTTTGTTTAAGTAGATTAGATGCTTTGAAGTCAAAGCTCTATAGTGCTTTTCCAAGCTAAAATACTGACCTCTCTTCTTAATATATATATAAATATATTATTTGTAACCTTAGATGTATGACAGGGCGAAACATAGACACATTTCCTTTAGACTTTTTTATACATCAACGTCCAATGACTACTTACTAGGCGCGCTCACTGCATATTTTTATGTTGGACAACAAAAAACTGACTTGAATAACTGCGCGCTCATAGCTTTTATCTGACGAATAGGTCTAAACAATGCTACCAGTTGCAAATACCAGATAATGTTGTCCGGGCAACCGATGAAACGTGAGCTTTTGCTCTCTAAAGGGACTGGATTACGCAACCCTTATCTATTTCCCTACTTTTCCGCCCCTAAAAAGAATTGTAAATGAGGGTGAGTGCAAAAGGAAACGCTTGTGGGCGACCCATTACTGATTTCATTGTCTGAGGAGCTGTGAGGTAGTTTGCGACGATGATTGTTGGAAAATTAACATAGCTTCACTTGAGTTTTACAACTTGGTTGCCGGACTATGAAGAAGTAGAGTTCTGAACAACCTTAAGTGGCAATGTTTCGTAATAGTAATTTGACAAATATTGATTTTTACAGTGTTTGGAAAGCAGGCTATATGACGAAGCTTTTCTGAACTCCCTTGAGCAGCCTGCCGAGACAATGACCTGGTGAGCACAGGTACGGTGCTTATTTCACTCATTTGTTTAGTCCATTCTCTCTTATGCAATGTCGGATTTCTAAGGCCTATTTCCATTCCACCTACAGGGGATCCTAACTTAATCCAAGGAAAAAACGTTTTTAGTTGACGTTTGATTATCGAAGAACACCCAAGACACAGCCATAATATTCACCTATCGTTATCCAGTATAGCGAATGACGCTGTATGCGGATACCAGAACAGAACAACTTAGCCGAAGATGAGACATCTTTTTCGTCAGGTTGCCCGTACCAACTTAGAGAATTTCATCAATTACGTGATTCTGCAAGATTATTTGTCCTTATGAACATTGTGTCAAGGAGAAGGATACAACTCGCTCCAACTTGTCCATAAGGCATCCTTAGGAGCCAATCAAGTAAATAATGGGTCTCCCTTGAAAACTAAATTGATTTGCAAATGAGTGTATGTCTCGAAAATAACTAATGCCTTTGCTACATATGAACCGGATAGAGTTATAATGCAACCTCCATTCTTCGAAAATTGTCCGAATCGCTCCGGTAGTCAGCGACCACTGGTTTTGGTTTGTAGAGCAGAACACACTTATCATATGATTAGTGAGCACCCTTCGGCAGGTGATGGGTGGTTTCGTTCTTCTTGGGGCTTATCGCATAGGTCTAGCTTGTGATTTTTCCTGCGATTTATATTCTACTGAAACACCAAACTGTTGGCATTCGGTGAACTATATTCATTCAGTCTATGCCGATAGCACCAACTTGATCTTCAAACAAGTGTGCTTCATCAATGAACTTATCTGTTCTTTAATAGAGTATATATTATACATGTGCTATAACCGAATTACAACGTCAGATTTTCAGACACCTTACACTGTTGTCTGATACCTCAAAGGTAACCTAATTTAAAAGTAGCCACAATGTTTTGAGGGCTGCTTAATTAGCAGCCATGGCAGATACTAATCATAGTTCCAACACCCTTCCACGTTGTAAGTTTTTTTCTCCAGATTTCAGCAATCGTCATCTGTTTTGTAAAAGCAGATTCGTTCAAGAGAAAATATACGGGAAAATAATGAGAACAGGCTTACTTCCGAAGGACGCCGCATGCATACACCTTTCCTTGAATTTATCACACTTGAGAGCAGCTCGTCCTCTAGCTGTAGTAGAAAACATATCGACAGTTCATCAAGTATGAAAATACGGCTTTTGGTAAAATATGACTGAATGATTCTTCAGCCTACAACCAAAAGCTGAATTCAGATGTCACATATTTAGAAATCACCTTGTGAAAACATAACGTAGGTTCGAGAAAACTCCAGAACGCAGCATGAACATCATGTGCAGCGCAGTACAATGTAATATATAGGAACCGCGTACACAGCTGTCATGTTTTGGCTGTGGCACACAACGACCTTTGAAGCATTTTGCAGTGTCCTTCCTGAGAAAGCTTTCTGTTTAGCAAGTCACGCTTCTGACTGCTGATTACCTCCACAATAGTCCAGACATACTACCTACGTGGATGGTAACATCATGTAACAGCTAAACCTAATACAGTGCGCATAACAGCTTAAAGAAGAAACAAGCTGAGGTTATTGGTTTTGCAAAGATGTGTGTGAGACAGCACACGATAAACAACTTACATCCACGCAGACTGGCTCGTGAAGGATCCGGTCACCGGTGTACTGAAGTGAAATGAAAAGGTGAGTAGAACGATCAGACTGAGGTCCGCTGTAAATGGAATAGATTTATTGACAGGATTAACAGACTGAGTGCGCAAACATTTTGCTGCAATTTATACACAATTGCTGTGTGCAAGTCAAGGGACTCACAAAATTGAAACAAACTTTGTAGGCGACCAGTCTTGCAGGACGATATATCTTTCTATTGGTATTCTTTTCGAGGGAGTACAACCATCCGCCAAATCATACGGGATACACTTTTGTGTTGGCTTGTACATGCCTTCTGACGTCAAATATTTTAACTTGACCGTACTTCTAATAATTTGATTTGAAGATTTAGCACTTCACAGGCCCGCTTCTTTGTGCGCTGCTATATATATAACATAGGTATAGTTGCCGGGCATCTATGCTTGGCTCAAGAAAAGTCCTGTGGAAGTCATTGGTGGACCACCACTTGAAACGCCAAAACCATAAAATTTTGAACTATCGGCACTGTCGGCACTTTTTCCGCAAGTCACAATATTTTGTTCCTATTGTGTCAATAATTTACAGTCTACACAAGTTTGCTCAATAAGGAAAGATTCCGATTCGCATTATACTCACGGAAGTCAACACATCCGACCACTTACGTGACACACAAATTCATTGGAACCGGGTAGTTTCATTAACAAGAAACCAGTATCGGCGCGGGTTTTTCCACACAACTGGAAGTTCGATCGAAAAAGCAGAATAAAAAAGATAGGTGCAGTAAGTAATATACAGTACAAAGTTGTGAATATAAAGGTTTTTGTTAATGAGCCTTAGAAAATCTGGAAGAAAACTGGTGCCCAGGGGAGTAACAGGGTTCAATTGGTCAGCAATGACAAATTCTGTACACCACAGCGGGATTGAAATAGCCGTTTCAATTTCTAAGTTAAAAGCAACAAAAGCAATAAAAAGGGGTATGCTATCGAAAAACCGGTGACATCATAACTGAGCTGTTCAAAACCACGCATTTATTTCGTTGAAATCAGCTACGATTTTGGAAAACGTACGGTCACCGAATGAACAACCCATTGGAAGCGTTTTTGCTGTTTCTGGGTTCCTTTATTTATGGTAACAAATATTTCCGATACACCGTACTCATAATACACGTAACTGCACTACAATCTCACCAGCTGTACATTCGTTTTCCTCAAATTTGCCGCAATGCGCTTCAAAATTTCACGAATACCCTCTGAAATCCTAGTTGTAAAGCATCAAATTCAACTTTTATCTGCGACTGAGAGTGGCATCAAAAAAGTGTAAAAAGTCAGTAATCCAAACGTGCCATACACACATACCTTCGAACTCATTGGTAGCATAACAATAATGATAACACCCTACAGGGAGCCTCACGAGCTCTTCATTCATCTTCGGGTAGGTATTTTATACACTACGCGATACAGTGTATGATTCCAGTTCCGTTCACTGAAGCCTAATCACACACAAATTCTGTCCATTAATATTCAAGGACACCTTTTGATCCTCGTTGAGAAGTCTAATGCGCGCCTTAAATTGCATCTGAGTTGCGCTTCCTATTTCATTCTGTCTCTTTCCTTCAGCTAGAAGCTGGTAACACTCCTGATTGCTCTTCCCGGTTTATTGACCGGTGGTGGGTATTGCCTAAGGTAACCTAAAGGCAGCCAAACGCTTCCAGCCAAAAAAATAGCACAAGTAATCATGTCGTGAGACGTGCACGTAATTTTAATCTACCACACAGTTCATCTTTTGGCCATAAACTGTCAACATAGACGGCATTTTTGAATTAAAGCATCTATAAAGAGGAAGTCTGAAGCAATAAAAACCACAACAGTGACTTCAAGGGATTATTGGCCAGACTTGAGAAAAAGGAGTAAAACGCAAAAAAGCAGCATAAATAATCAGATGACTTCGAACTTGTTGAACATTCGTCTTGATTTCCAATCCATTTGCTTCAGATCTCTTATCCCCATACAATATTAGTTATTTCATCTAAAAATGTGATCAGGTTAAAGTTTGCTAGAGTCCACGCTGTACAGCCATGTAAGCTCTGTGGCACAGCGACAAAAGATTGACGCCATCCTTCAAATCCACGTAGGGGTCCCACAAAATTACAATAATTTGATATTATCTTTAGCTTACCCTTTTTCTTCATCCACCCTTGTTGGGTCACTTACGCTGAAACGGCACCGCACCGGCTATCAGAAACCATGAGTGAACACTCACTGGCGCGTTTCATGCGCGGTGATGAAAATTATTCTCCGGTGTATTGGAACTATACCTCAACAAAACTGGCGACCAAGCCGCAAAAGGCATTTATATAAACCCTCAGGACGGAGATACTGAATGGTTTAACTTGTAGAACAGTTTTGATCCAAGTTGACAACTCGCCTGCGGTAAGTAGTGCGCTACATCATGCCAAATGCTTCGGTAAAATCTATCAACAGAAACTGACTTCTGCTTCTATTCACGTCGATTTTGTTGATCCAAAGGATCACCACTTTATTCTGTCTTAAATAGGTTCCCTCTAGTGCATCAACCATCTCCATAGAACTCGCAACACTAAACCAATGAAAATATTTAAAACACAAGGGTTGACACCGATACTGGATCAGTGTACATTATTACTCTGACATTTTTGCAAAACGTGAAATTTTATCAAGATTTTGAATTCGATACTACCAATTTTATCGTTTTAATTTTTGAAGAGTATGTTAATAAAAATAAAAGATGAAATTGAGAGATGGACGTGGATAGGTGTACATGGGAACATCAGGTAAGACGAGGGGAACTTTTTATTCGAAATCTTCTACTGTAAGTGTGGATACTACTGATGGAGTATGCGAGTGGTATGTTTTGTCTTAAACCCACCCCACGTCTCTTATTAAGCAATATCTATTACAGAATTTGTGGAGTCGCTTTGTAGCATTTGCTTGGAGCTGAGTAACAGTCAATGAATGTTCAGGGAAGTTCAGAAGGACACGTTGAATGAGAAAATGAATATTCAGCTTTTGTAAACAAGATGCATATGGGAGTTTTGTTCCCCTATCCAATAATCTGTAACTGTTCAGTTGGTGTTTCCCTAATAAAGAACTTCGCAGCGAATGTCTTCTGCCTTTCACTAATGGTGGTTCACTGATTTTTTTCATTTTTCATCAAATAGGCTTTTCACCTGTATTCTGATACGTGGTTCCCATTATTGGGGTTTTCGAACTTCATGAAATGCTTCTAAAGAAACTTGCGTCTCGAATTCAGGAGGATACCACCGATTATGCAACAACGTGATAAATAAATGAGCTTCGTGCAAGCAATGCATGCATTAACGACACTCCTGGTGTTTGCGTCACTTGTTCAGTGTTTAGTATGCTTGGTATTTTGTTCGTTGTTTTGTGTGCGGCGTTGTTCGTTTCTTTCGGTTTCGACGCTAGAAAACGTCGCAGTCAGCGTAAAGGTCACAAAACAGTTTTGTGATGGTTCCTACGTTAAAGATTTCATGTGACTCAATTGCAGATTTCCTCGTAGTACTTGAGTGGTGTGAGATACAATGACACAGGCATGCTTGGGTGGGTCAGTATGATGTGACCTTGGGCGTGCTGAAGCTAATATAGTGATTGCATTCTCACATCACACTCGGGGTTAGCTAAACCAAGACCACACACAATTCCTGTTTTCAATAGCACTTTTACAGATCCAAGAAAAAACTGTATCTTCATTTATTTTAATTATTCATTAGTTTCCTAATATTGACATAAAGTAACGATCTACGGATGTTTGGCGGAATTCCAATATCATCAAATAAAACTTAGCAAAAAAGCAAAGGAAATTGCGGCCTGATGAAATTCACTTGGCTTCTGAGTGTTGTGCATGGTTGAAAGTGCTGTATATCCACAAATAGGTTATGGTAGCTTAAGTAGCGTGTATGATCGATGGTTTGTTTTCTGAGGTGGGCAGTTCACTTGCCCTCAAATCACCCAGCTCAGAGAACAAACCAGCGGCCATTTGTATCAAATCGTTTGGTAGCACAAAATACCAAGGTTCGAAAATTTCCCAGGCCATGAAAATCAACTGACGTGCTGCTTTCAATGGAAAACAAAAACCTATCTCTTGAAATGACCAAGCAGAGGCACTTGGGAATGTTTTGGCTGTGACAAAAGCTTGAATACCTCTTCCTTCACTAACTCATTCAATTTTTGTAATAAGGAACACCTGACTATGTGCCCTTGATTTCTCAGACACGCAGTCAATTTTTTCGTAGTGAAGCTATCGTTCTCAGTACGTTGTTATCCACACAATCGTTTCTTTAGATAACCAAAATGTATGAACACCAGTCAAGTAATTACTTCATCGAGTTTGAAGCTTTGATGTCTCCTCTTTTGCCACGCGAAACCATAGTAGATAGAACCCGCGTACTCTAGGCACATGGTTTATAGCTGATGAACCGAACAAGGCTTATATGTTGATGCTTTTTCCAAGAACTCGTAAAAATACGTGAAGTGTGCATATCAGGCGGTAATTTATAAGGTTCGGAGGCCACTGGCCTGCAGGCGAATAAAATTTGCATGTAATTTGACTTCACTGGACAGTGCTTCCTGACTTGATCAATAAGCTGCTATTCATGACATCAGTTCAAGCACATGCGTAGATAACGAAAAATTTACTGTAGATGATTGTGTTTTTACCTGTCACAGTCTATAGTGGTCCTTGTTCTGGGTATGGAAAGTTACAACAGAAGATACCTGATCAAGATGGCCGAGACATGCCACTGTGACTTACGTTTCCGCTGGACCATAGCTCACTCAACTTGACCGAAACAAAGCTCCGTGCAAGTTTTTTCGTGGGATATATATACATATATGTGAATTTGAGGTTTGCTCTAAAAGCCTGTAGAAATTGGTGGATGGTGTCAGTGTCTTGATGTAAAAGAACTAACTTAGTGTCCAATCATCGGAGTTCCCAATTCTTGATTTAAATTACCAAACCCTGATAAGATATTTAAATATTGGATGAGTCTATTAGCTACTGATCAGCTGCTGATAGTCAGTGAACTGACTGGGCACCATTCCCTCTAATGGTGAGGTAACGTCAAACCTTGGGAACAGGTGAAAAGGATCAATTCAGACACTGCCTAGCGAACTTCACTTCTGACACGGCTAATCTTGCGGATGGGAGAACTCCGTTCAATCGCTCAGACCTAATGACAAAGCAATTTCAAATTGACAAAATTCAAAAACCTTTGAGGTGAACAACCAGGTCTACACCAGATTTTCCCTGTGTTTTCAAGATGAATGATATTTGAAGAAGTGCACATCAGTGTGGACTTGTTGGTGGCTTGAACAGTGATTCAGTAAGACATGATTAAAACTGTAAGTTGACTTTGATGATGTGCGCCACTTGTCGATGAATCAAGTCTAATGATTCAGCACAGAAGAGCCAAACCACAATAGTTGAAGTATCCGCTTCAAAAGCCAGCATGCACGTCACAAAAACTCACGTAGTTCATAACCTTGTTGGGAAGGTTTGCGGCTTCATCTTCATTCAAGGAGCCTGAAATATTAGACGGACTTATGAAACCATTATGGCAGGAAATTGAGGAAGGACATGACATTAGTATCAATTATCAAAGATTATTAGGTTTAAAACTCTATTTTACTTCATGATATAATTACCGTTTCGCAAATTTCACTGTTTTACTGAGGCGAGCGGAAGACTATCACCAATAAAGTAGAATAGCACGTTATTTTGCTCCTACGCAGGCAAAACAACGTCTGGTGCGATAGCCCAGTTGTGTGACATTTTTTAACTGGCTGGTTCGGAAGTTAGAAGGAACAAAATTTCTGACATACGAAAACATTTCACGGGAGTGGACAAAAACAAAGGATTTGTTAGGGATAAATTTGAACCACTGATCTATTTCAGAAATCTTAATTCACATCTACTAAAATTTCGTGGTAGATATGTCACTGGTCAGAGTATTTTTTGTGCTCGTTCTCAGAGCCAAAAATACCGCCGTTGTCAAGTAAATTGGGTTAGGAAATCAGTAAGTATGAACGTGAAAGAGGTGGGTATTTGAGAACTGTTGAAGCAGATCAAGGCGCAAATGAGGTAAACTAAAAGACAGTCCTTTAACGAACTAAAAGCAATGACAGATCCAAAAATCAGACATGCGGCAAATCAGCGTAGCTCCAAGTATGCGTTGCAGCACCTTCCGCTGTCGCTGATTTGGTATAACAGTTGTCCGATAATCTAGGAGTATCAAGTTTGAGCCTCTTCTAAGAACACTGTCCCTCCTTCCGCACTGTTAGTATGGCCGGCATTCGAAACATAGATTTACATATATGTCTATATATATATATATATATATATATATATATATATATAAATAACCATGCGCCACAAGCACGTTGCGTGCTAAGCACTTGCGATTGGTCATCTGTTGAATCAGTCGGAAGCAGTCGCCGGACCAAATCTGAATTCCGCGGCGCTCGATGATCACCCAGTAGTTGTTCTAACCTTGTGTGAAATGTTATGCTCTCACGGTCAGTAAAGTGATTGTTAATGCGAAACCACTAAAATATGACAAGAAACTAAAATTTCGTGTCACAGTGAGCAGTGAAAGCATTGCAGTAAAGTTTCTTTAAGTGAGGTTCGGGGGCTGGTCTTCCGGAAAAGGGTGTCAAGAAAATTACTGCGTTAGAGTGAAAGAAAAGTTGTCGGAAGGTGTTAACTTGTGTTAAATGGCCCTTCAGTTGGTCTTCGCGTGCCCATGTTGTGTGGTGAATGCTCCGAAGTCATATAACTAGCGAAGTGTGAAGACGAGAAATCAACCTTGGTTGGCGGAAGTGTTAACGAGGCAGAGAATTGATTCACAGGACATAATTTACAATGAAATCACGACTCGAAGGAAGAGGCTTTCGCCCGTGACAAATAGCCTCATAATGACGACCCGTTGGATAAGGTTTGCTACTAACATGTTATAAAAACTGAAGCGAGGAGATGATCTACAGATTAGGATTATATTTGTTTGAGAGTTGAAATCAAAACATATTAGAAGTCCACCCACGGCCCCTTAATTAGGGCACTCAAAATTCACTTCTTCTCTCTGCCGTTTGAGACAAACAGTGAAAATTATATTTCGTCATTATGTCACCAGGACATAATTTACAATGAAATCACGACTCGAAGGAAGAGGCTTTCGCCCGTGACAAATAGCCTCATAATGACGACCCGTTGGATAAGGTTTGCTACTAACATGTTATAAAAACTGAAGCGAGGAGATGATCTACAGATTAGGATTATATTTGTTTGAGAGTTGAAATCAAAACATATTAGAAATCCACGGTGGACCCCTTAAATAGGGCACTCAAAATTCACTTCTACTCTCTGCCGTTTGAGACAAACAGTGAAAATAATATTTCGTCATTATGTCACTATGTTAATATGATGCCTAATAGTGCTGCAATCTCATACGGACAAAAACCCATTTGAAATGTGTAAGGCAGTATAAAGAGGCCTCTGCGTAGAATAGACAGTATTGGACTCAATAAAGCTTTGGAAGGAAGGAATTTCAGAAAAATGAGCGGGAAAGTTCGCTTAAACTTTTGCTTAACTTGATACAAAGTGCTTAAACAAGCGGGAACATGAAAAACTGAACCTTTTTCTCCCGAATAGATTTTCCATCCCAACTATTAGTGTCGTGCTAACTGTAAAGTGTTACCTATGACTCGTTAGTGCCTGATTCCGCCAATAAATGGTAAGCCTAGTGAGTGGTTTCGCCGGAAATTTCCTACTACCTTAGGCAATTCCAATAATTACTGGTCAACCTGTTCTGTGTAGTGAGACACATTTAACATGAACAGTTTGCTGCACAAACTTTATTACCGGATTTGGGCCTTTTATGTTATAATGAAGAGATTTCCATAAATTAATTTTTAGTAGGTGATGGATCATTGAATTCGTACGGCAATATTGCTTGCAAGTTATCCATTGGCCGTACTTTCCTCTTTGATGGTCAAATGATCTCTCCTAAGTCAACTTTCTTGTGCAAGTAGAGACTCACCAAAAAAGCTCATAAATTCGCGTCGAACAGGTCGTTTCGGATTGGAAACCAGTGGACTACCCCGGCTGCAACAAATCTTAGGATCGTATTCAACGGGGATTCCATGTCCTTTTATTCCATCATCGCCAGTTAAGCTTAGTTGTTCCAAACGGACAACTCGATTGAGGGCAACTGAGAGCTGTAGGGATGAACAAAACAACACGCTTAAAGTTCCTGACAGAAGTCGAATTTCGCACTGGGAGGTCGCTAAGACAAGTCGACAGATACACTTGTCGAAGCACATCTACATGCTATCAATGCATGTGGTCGTTTTGAAAAAGAAAATGAAACGGTGCATTCAGCGCTCCGTTAACTTTCAAACGCTAATCAAATCATAATAGTTAGTCCACGTACTTAACGGGTGCTGTGTTACCTTGTGGTTGTGTTCCTTCTGAGGTTTTCGTTAAGCAGCTTATTTAGGTAGATACCAGACGATTTGGCATTGCCGATTTATTATGGTGCAGGAAAATTCAGTAAAGCCGTCATCCATGTGTTTGGCCACACAGAGCTGACTGCAAGCAAAACGTCGGTGTGCTTTTCAACGTACACGATTCGGCCTTTCAAGTGAAGGAAAGACTGCGCTTCAAGGTTGCCTTAACGCATTCATTAAATTGATTACAATATATTGCATGCATGAATAGCAATAGACGCCTGGGTGGTTCACAATCATGCTTAATCAGGCGTGAGACTGATCGCCGGCCATTCAGTAAGAGAGTGGTCTCAGAAATTACACAAAAGAGCGTGTATCAATATTTGCGGACAGTATTTGGATAAAAATGTCAGCAACAACGCTGGTATTATGATACTGTTTTATTCCACTGGCTAAATGAAAAATAGTAGTGGCATGGCTTTTTCTCCGTTTCCGTATCGAGGCTACTCCACGACTAATCTCTCCTGTGCTCGTTTATTTTAGAATTCAATAGACATGCTCTGTCTGAATGCAGAAGTGGAAGAATCAAATCAAAAGCACAACGCCACCGACAGATACAACCGTAATTGTAAAAGAAAAATGAAGAGCTAAATTGCCTAGGTCAACTTTTTTATGCCATAATGAACCAGCAGACAAGCATCTTAAATGTGTTTTCGACAAAGAAGCGCGTTAAAAAAATGCTTCCTTCGTGAGGGTCTGGTGAAAATTCCGCCACCCTGAATGATCAGTGAAAAGCTAAATTGTCTCGACTCTGCTCTCAGAAATGTCAATCGGTCATGCGTGCGCATTACTTTTAGTCGCTTCGTTTAAGAGACCCTGTATAAATGTGCTGGCCTGTAAGTACGATATTTTAAGGGAATTCATTTATCACTTACTCTTACTTAAACGAAATATCTCGAGAAACTGCATGCTACCATATCTCAGGCAGTAGTACGCAAAGGTTTAGCGGAAAATACGAAACGCATGTTACGTACTCCTCAATCATTCATACTCCAAATATGCAAACAAAGAACATCCATAAAAGAATAAATAGCTACTCTCCAGCTCTGTGTTGAGTGCTGGTCAATACATTCAACAATGTGTCACTTGTTGAAGGAGTTTATACAATAATTCTAAATTTTGATAAGGTTATTGCGCATTTGACATTACAAATGAGCCAAAGTATTGCAGAGCAAGTTCATTTACTAGTCGAGAGGTATGTATCATTCCCCACGCTGTCGAACAAGATCCGGATCTTACATCCAATGTCACACTTCACCTTCCTCTACTAAAACATCGTAATGTTTCAACCGAACAGATCTCTAATGGATATATGCATATACAGAGCTAAACACTCCCATAGATTGCATCTGCAAGAATTACGTTTCCAAACTTCCAGAAAAATCTGCTCCGAGAATTTCACCTTTTTATCAGTTCCTTCCAACCATTCCGTCCATAATACGCTCTATGAACGGAAGCACTCATTTGCATTTCGCAAGTGTCCGTCGCAGGATATCACTCTCGAAAAGTACAAAAGCGAACATCAGATCTGGGATCTCGTATCATGCCTTACAGGGAAATCTGGATATCCGTTTAATGGGTCTTTCGCTTCCTTGCAGAGAACCGACGAAGCTTTTCACACAGTATTTTTAAAGTTCACTGCCCTATAACGCAGCATGTAATACAGCTAGTTACCTATTGTGTATCTATGTGGCGTTGAGAGCATTTAACCTACTGATGAAAAAAAAATCGGTCAGACTGTGGTATGTTTTGATATAATGTCTCATTCTGATTATCTACCGTGTTATGTTGTTTTAAGTTATGGACTTCCGCTGAATTACCCAAATCTGCTCTAGCTGCATAAATATTGCTTGTGTCCCATCACCATGGAAGCATCAGAAAACAGATTTGTCAGGCGTACGTCACCCCTCACCCAGTTTCCATCGAAATTCGTAATTTTTTTAATGAGATTATAGCCATAAATACACGGCTGAAACGGGTGATGTGTTCTAATTTCGGTTTCACTCCAGTTCGATGCGGTAAAGTAATTCAAACTCATCCAAAACCAATCTGACCAATTCATGACCAATCAAGTTTTAGTGAAGGTCTAGGATAATTCCCAGTGTTTTTCATCGACACCTCTATCTGTTAATTGTAGCTCAGGATAGCTACAAATTGCGATATTGGAAACGTATTGCATTCTTCATGACTGATTGACAGTTTTATTAGGACATCCGGAAAAATACTAGAAAACAACGCAGAATTGTCTTATGATGAGAAATCGATCACGAACTTATTCTTCATCTTTGTGTTCTTTTATGTTTTCTACAAGAAACTATTATTTCGACACACGATTATTCACCCATGCGGTTCAAAGTCCCAAGAACCCGTAGAGTGATGATGAAGCTACCACAGCCAATCAAGTTTGATCCTTTGATGCCGGGGTCAACTAGTCGCTAAACATGTTCAGGCAAATTAAATTGCACCTTGCATGAACGCCTTTGAAATTCCGGGGACAACGTCATGTCATCCAAAGTGCCATTTAGTCGTGTTCGCTGCCCATGTAGTAGGAAAAAATGGTAGTTAATTCCTTACTGAAAGTCCACCCACTGGCCGGGAGTAAATTGTTGGGCGGAATTCCACAAGGATCTCCTCTTACCGCTCGCGGCCGAGAAGCCTAGCTCGCGCAACAGTGGTCAAAAGCTCGACCGGCATCAAGCCAAGATCTGATTAGTCGAAAGTCTGCACTCAACTGTCAGTCAAGACCCAGAGTTGGCCAAATGCCGGTTGCCAATGGCGCATCCAGAAGGTGTCAAATTTCCAGGAAGTTGTCACCGCGCACACTATATATCGGAAGCACTGTACAGTTGTTCGTAACTTGGTTTGTGGGCGTTAATATAACTTGTTCAACTTTGGTGATTGTTTTGACGTGAGAGCTAATTTGGGAGGCTCAGACCGAGAACTAGGTTAAGGAATATACCGCTACCACATATACATCCATTCCAAGTTACATTTATAAGAACATCGTGGCAAGAAACGAATGTCGACTCCTGATCTAAGCATGATGAGGAGTCTTTATCAACGAAACGAAAAAAAGTCGGAAGAGAGAATATCTCGTAATATTTTCCACACATTGCAACAACGCGTTTAATGTACGGGGGCAGAATTACCATTGTAAAGCTAATCATTCTAAGGGAAGTGTGTTTTTAAGTGTGTGCAACTTGAATGGTTTAGGAGTGATCTTCGAGTTTTGACAATTCTCAAGATCACTTGGCCTTTCTTACTAAACATAAGTGAACTGGATGCCGTTTTGCCATCGGACTACTTCCTACCGATCAACATCAGCAATTCACCAAAAGAATGTTATCTGACCAGTTTAGCTTGCAATCCTCAGTAAAAGGCTGCTAGGAATAACGCCATGTTGATGTCAGCGTAAACGCTATCAGCACGTTGCATGAGAAAAGGCATTCGTTTATGAAATCCTTTAGAAATCGCCTGTTTAAGCCATATGTTCGCTGGTTGAAAGAGCCCTAATGAACCCACAGTAAATTGGACGATGCATCTAGTGTTCCACCCTGTGCTTATTCCCGCCAAAAATTTCCACTTTGAATGAAACATCCGTTTGGCCCCTATTAGTGTAGCAGAAGTACCAAGAAGTTATTTGTTTTTCCACGCGTTGACTGAGTTTTCTACACGCTGGTCATATCAAACCCCATTCTGTGGCGCAAAAACTGAGAGACCTTATAAAGTGCTGCTTTCTTCCAAGAAGTATGGGAAACCAGGATCCCAGAAAAAAGATGTAGTTGTGACTTTGAAATGGCAGACTACTTATTTGTACAATGGCATGCAATGGGGTCCAACAGTGAGTCTTTGGTGTGCGTCACTACATGTACAAAGCGTCCGATAAGATCAAAACTTACCCAACCACAAATCCAGCTTGGTATGATTAAACCAGCTGGTTTCGGCATGAAAATTAACAAAAAAACAGATGTTTACCTGTTGCCTCAGAACTTGAGCCTTCTGAATTGCAGAACGAGGAAGTCTATCAGCAATCATCTGGAGTTATGAGCATGAAGACGGAAAGGAATAACAATGCACGTTAAATTTTGTCAGACAGGCTAATCTATTTGTCAAATGACAAGAAGATCACTATAACTGGCTTAAATTAAACAAGAGCACTTTACTAAATTTTGGCAGCAATAAATAAACGAATTTTGCTAAAGTCAACAGAAGATGGAAGTGAACTTCACAATAACCAAGACGTCACCACGGCTGTCCACAGATGCTTGCAGTTACAAACATGAATATGATCTAGTAATAAAGGATTCTGATGATCGTGGTATTTTTATCTACATTGACGGACAGATGTCAGTAGACAGAGAACGTAGAATTAATCCACAGCGGTTTCTGCAAACCTACAGAAAGGCTGAACGACACGAGCGCCTTTGGTCCTAGTGGAACTTACATTATTCCTGTAGGCCGACAACACCACGCGTCCGCCGGCTGATATACACAACTGGTGGAATTCAGTAATTGAATATGGCTCTAACTAAATTGTGATCATTTACGTCATCGGATCGCACATTTAAAGTCGAGGGCAATAAGCTGGATAATTATTGGTCTGCTTGGGGAACCAGATAATTACTAGGTCATAGATTGGACCGTGCATCTTAGAAAAGGTTTCACCAAATTCAGCGTATCCCAGTTAATGACCTAGTAATTGTCAGCTTTCATCAAGAATGCACTGAGTCGTCGGATCACTGTCTGAATTACTCAGAAGCTGGTTGAAGTCTGTGAAATACACTGAAATGCTCGTTGCAGACTAACGTGATTTTGTCGGGAGACTCACCTAGAACCCAGCTAAATCTCTAGTTTATGATGTTCTCAGGCATCATCAGGACGCATCATGATTCCGTTGGTACATGTATACATGTAATACACTACTCATAAGTTTTCTGAAACTCTGAGAAAGCCCACGACTAGTCCGTTATTTTAATCTATTTTCTCTCAGCATGAACAACCTAAAACGCAACCACATTTGCACTTGCTTTGCGAGCAACTGACCACGGCTGAGTGGAAATATCCGAGAGGAAAACTACTCCTGCCTTTTGCTTCTACACTAAACGGACAAACCTAGGTGGGGCAATACCATTACTAACAATGACCAGACTTCTTCCTAATTTTGGAGGAAACGACAAACAGATACTTTTGATTTTCTGAATCACTTCGGTGGTTATAATACACTTTTCATTCCAACCATATTGTAAACATATGGGGCGTTTCAAGAATAGCCAGTTAAAAAAGACATGTATTTCGGAAGTGATAGAGGTCTTATATGCGCATATTTTCACCAGAGAGGAGAATTCATTCCACAATCGTAACCACACTAGGAATAATTTAGAGTGATGGGAGTATGGAATCTGGCGGACTAAGGGAGTTATAATTTTTCTGGGCTCTTTCGGTGACTCCTCATAAGCGGAATTTCTGACAATTCAAATATTTAGTTAAAACTTGGAGTAGGACATTTCCCATAAAATAAATCATTCCCAATAAATTCCTACAAAAAGCTTAACATTAAGGTAATCAGCAAACCCACTATTAGAATAGCGTCTTGTACCTTGAGTAACCACTAAGTGTTGCTGCTTGAAAGTAAATTCATCTCATTTGTCTTTGAAAAACCAGTGTGCTATAATTCATGTATATCACTGCGTACGTGAAATCGTATTTGTGAGTACCCTTCTCATCCCATCAATATTATTTGTTTACATCCTAATATCGTCACTCTGGTTCGGAATTCTAAAGGCAAACTGCAATCACATGTATGCGACCGGTCAAATTAGTCAGCAAATCGCGGTATCATTGTTCACACACTTTTAATCCACATAGTTCCATCACTGTAAGGTTCCCAAATAATACATTTTAAAAAAGTTATCTTCATTCCTGAGGAATTTTTACACACGCGCACACAAAACGCCACATATGAAGAGACTTGGTGGTATAGGACACAACGTTTTGTATCAAGGAAGACGAACATTATCAGTGAAAACGATTGTGTATACCTCCATTTTTCCTATACTCGTTACTTATCTGCCATTTCATGCAGAATCAGTACAGTTTGTTCGTACCGTACAAGTTTCACTTTTAACTGAACCGGGATTCCTTTTCTAATGTGTCACTTTGGTTTGAGGAAACGAACCCATGACAACAAACCATACAGTGACTATAACAGTTGCATTTTACTCCCAGTCTGTTAAAACTTAATTTTTGAGACCGACAAACGCCCGTATGTCATAGGTGTGCCTCTGGAAAGAAAAGAGTTTACAGTACATTTTCTAACCTGATATAGAAGTGCGAAGACAACAGAACAACTGTCCACAGAGTGAAAGCTGATCGGTTCTTAATATTCGGAGGAAGTTTTTTTAAGATCTTGTTGCTAGAAAGTTTGAACAAATTGTCGTTCACTAACCAAGTGCTCAGATCGCAGTGTAGTTTGGGCATCGGTAAAAACAGTTTGCAGTTTTTAAAACTGCATAATGGGATTTATAGACAACAGGGCTAACATTCACATATGCTTTATAGGGTGGAGGCTATTGTAAGTTTGGTTTTGAGAAGTCGCGTTTTAGCTTGCCCAGTTAAATAATAACTACGCTAACCAGAGCGATACTTGCGGAAAAATTTGAGCCAAAATCCAGTAGCGCTAGTACGGAGTAGTAGTACACTTGCAAACGCACATATGCTTACAGCTGCCACTGAAGTTGACACAGCCTTACAAAATGTGACCTACTGCTCAAAAATAGGCTTCAGACAAATAATCGGTGTAGCACACCTGAGAACACGCTCAGGTGGTGGAGGGCTGCTAAAAGGTACTCTGAAAGATTGATTAATTGCCCAGGGCTCCACTACTTGTGCACTTGTCTTGCTTGCAAATGTCCCATGAGCTATGTGGGGCGAAAGATACGATACGTGTCTGGGGAAATCAAGGGACAACTATCCAATTGTAGAAAAACTGGACCAGCCGGACACTTGACAAGTGCCAGTGCCGGCCGTCTGCGCGATACAGGCTATCTGCTCAATCCGATTGAGTCAATTATTGCAATCTGTTGAACACTTAAACATCGGTCAAAGCCTATTCGCCAACGAATGCTCTAAGCAGCTGAAATGATCGTCATTCGGTTACGTACTTATTACTTTGAGGACAAGAGAGACGTGCAAATACTTGGACGTTGCCTTGACCCACAAACAGACTCGATGATAAGTGAACATTGTCTTTGTACGAATAGTACAGCAACTCTGCAGATTCCCTTACTTATGACTGCATTTGTCCGAAGAGACGCAACTAAAAACGGTCATTCGCAACCCAGTGTACATCCAAATTTATTTACTCCTAAATGAGTACGTTTACATTGAATATACTTGCTAGTCGTTACTGTGTGAAAATATCTCGTAGCTGTCAAATATGAATCAAGTACAAAGCAGTCCCGCTCATAATCATTTTAGCATCTCTATGATAACTAATGAAACCTTTTGGCTAAGGCTGAAAATTGACAGCAGTTGATACACGCATCACGCAACCAGGTACTCACAATAAACTGCGCGTTTTTTTCTTTGAAAGACGCCGGTGTGTTGAGATAGAAGGAAACCACTGAAATAGAAAGCAAAATTTAGGATGGTTGTTGTTCTATGCACTGCAAAGAGCATATCATTTCAAACAGCCCGTCGCTGGCAGAATGGGTTTCGGTATCAAAATAGTCACCCAACCGAACAGGCTTTCCTTGGTTGATTGTCCCAGAATTACTTTCGTGGAGTATATTCAACAGTTAACTACCTGAATAAATTGAGTTAAAAATAATTCATTATTAAATACCTGTCAGCTGCTCACTTTTCATCTGGATATGAAAATAGCCAATAAGCTTCCAGAATTCAGGCCCGCAGTCCATTAATTATATGAATGACTAGTCTCAGAGCGATTGATCAAAATATACTGATACAATTTCCAGAACTGAATTCACGCGAAGGACAGAATATTATTATTTTAGTTTTTCTGTAAAACAAGCTCACGTGAGCACTTGGAGCTATCATCTTTGTGAATTTATAACCCGGGGAAAATACCGTGCGTTTACTAGCAAAATTATGAACATAATGAATGGAAACAGAAACCCATTGTATTATCCATTACGCTGACATATTTATTCTGTCTGTTTATTCTGTCTCTATTTGTAACCGCCGCTCCACTGTTGTGTTTGGTGCGTGCATATGAACTGACGTTTGTTTGTCCTTAACACTTTACACATCTGGCCTTGAGGCCGTCCAGCCATTGGTGGTCGACTTAGTGCAGGTATAACCGTCTCAAGTGGGAACCTGTTTGCTCATTTGGTCCGTACTTTTGTAGTCCGAGTGGTCCATTTGTTTTGAACGAGTATCTGCTGTCCAGGTTTGTATAATTTGTGGATTTGTGTCTTTCACTAATGGTACCGTATGGAAACCCAGTTCCGACTTCGTTTTGCCATCCCAGAGGTTCTGATATTCCGCGTCACTGTTTCCCTTTTTCATCCAACCCCCTCAAGGTTCAAACAAAGGAGAAGTATACCTATATATGGCTGAATTTTAATCGCATACTATGTTTTAACTGGTTATGATTTTGGTAAACAAAAATTTTGCTAAAGACGAAAATAAATTCGCTTTATTTTACCGCATTGAAAGTTTGAGTAGATACGTCAATCAGGGCACGCAACATTTACTTGACCGTTCTACGTAGAGTTACGCAACCACTCTACTTTACTGGTTGTACATTGAAATTTTGATGTATATTTCCTGGAAGCTTAGTGGTTTTCATAGCATAATGGTGGGACAGTGACACAGCTGTACCCCATAGAAGTCACGAAGTGACCTCAAATAATGGTAAGAGGCTTGAAAGACGGGCACATAGATGTCTGAAAACGCACTTACAGTGTTGGATTCCGGGATTGGTGATATCCAGTTGCCTTGACCCAATTTTCTCCGTCATTGCCTCGATCACATGTTCCGCAAACTCCGCCGAGAGCTCTTTTATCGTTATGTCACCATTCTTGGCGTTTCTTATAGTGAAGATCAGAAAGAAAGCAAAGATTACTACCCGGGCACCCTTTCCCTGTGCCATCAAATGGGCCTGTCTAACAGTTACTTGTCCAGTAGAATTTGTATGTTTTTTATTCAGAATGTTTGCGTCCATAGTGTGATAGTCACACCAATATCTCACCATATACTGCGAGTTTCAGTTACCTAGTTCTGATTAACATTGCATATGGTGACACCATATTCTCAGTTGACAAATTTAACCATTTTGATTAAAATTCACAATTCAGTGTCGATTTTGCACTGCTTCAGGATGGTTAGAGAAGGGCCTTTCGGAAATCCTAGCCAATTTTTGACCAGACTAGCATTAACTTGCGCATAAGACAAGACCCTAGTTTTTTCTCGAGTCTTCATAATTTGTTGCACAAATCGATTTCATTTATATATGTTGATATAACGCAACCAATTTTCAGCTTGCAACCATCAACATGAATCACCTAGTGTAGTTTTAACACACTAATCCCACATAATCCTCTATTTTAATTAAGCAATAGTTAGTAGGGTGCGTGTCTGTGGCCGTAAAAAGCAAGCCAATATGAATTCCCTTCTCAACCGTATCAGCGATGCTTTCGTTCTAAGGAGAGTCATTAGAACAAATGTCTGTTTTTAGCCTTTGGAGCTAACTTCCATCCCATGTACGTTACCAAATACTCTTTCACAGACGTCGCCGTGTTTAAATGACGTTGTGGCTTGTTTGCTCACACGAAAATTTAGTATCGCTAAGCTGGTAACTATACTGAGACGTTTATTAAACCTTTGCAACCATGGAAAGCTGTGAAAACAAATAAAAGCGAGAATTAATTGGTTCATATATGGTCATTTTTGATCTTTGATTTCAGTGCGGATGAACTATATCAGCAGCCGAATTATCCAGCCATTATTGTTATCTCAACATCGCAAACGGCAGATTCAGCTGAGTTCTAGGTGAGTCTCCAGCAAAACCACATTTGTTTGCTAATGAGTGTATTTCGCTAAAAGGTACCTGTATGTTGGTGCACAGGACGGTTGTGTCTTGATTCCCACATCGGACAGTGGGTAACAGTGCATTGTTTACCAGTGAGTCTTCTGTTTATCTTCTCCTTTGCCAGTGATGCGTGATAACCGAAAAAGAACCATCCACTAATCTTGCTTCAATGAACTGCAGTTGTATGTTGCCCGTCCCAAGCAAGTCTTATGTTCATCTCTCTGATGTTTGCAGCTGTTTGATTTTTAAGACTGTGTTATGCATCCTGTCCTCTTCACCACGCTTGGACTGATGTTTTTCTGCAATCTAACCTGGTCTGTTTACGCAAACTTCGCCGCAAGCTTCCTGTAGGGTGATATACTTCTTGTTTTAAGCTCGAAAATACACCATTTTGGAGAAATCCAGATTTCAGACTCAGCAGATACGACACTCGATTAGTTCTGGAAGAGAACAGTTAGTTCTATCACCACTCCCTCTTTGCTTGACAAACTTCAGACCTAGTCCCTTTGCTGAGTTATACAATTTGCATTTTTTCACTCACAAACACTGGGGAAATTGCTCTACTTGGATAACCGCGACTTTTCTCGTTCCTCAAACTAACGACAGTACCACATACCTTTGCACTTTATACGATCCCCACAGTCATTCTCCCAAAATTCCTGGTCCAATACTTCAGTTCCCTTAATTAGATTTATCGATTCGTGATACAGTGTCAGAATTGCACATTAGGCTTTCCATCTTTTATGGGTTTCAACGTTTTGGGAATAATTTCGGTTATAAATCTGCTTCCTGTTTTGTAATTTTTCGCTTACGATTCACCTAGTTGTTCTCTAACACTTCTTTAGCACAACCCGATGGCCTTAGCTTCTTTGAATTCATATTAGAAAAAGGTGACTGTGTCCCTCAACTCAAAGGCTTTTTGAATTTTCGCACAGATGTAGCCATAAATAAATGAAGTCAATTTCAGAAATTTTACCACAGAAGTAATAACAAGCTTTCTCATTTCTTTGAACTATAAAACCCAAAATGCGAGTAGAAATATGGGTAAATTATTCATACCCAAGATGAACAAGATGACATCTTCCCAAACAAATCCGTCCAATGCTGCTAGCTTGCACTTAACTACCAGATCGCCGTGCATTCACTCGGGACAAGATACAGAACTGAACTCTTCCCTTCACCTCTCCATTCATGGCCACATCATGACGTGGTCGAACACAGAGTGAAATTCCTTGGAGCATTATTGATCAGTCGACTCAGGTCAGTACTCTGAATTCAGAATAACTTCATTTTTATGGCGAGACTGCTAAGGTTTTATTACTTGTTCTCATTACGTTTTAGTTGCATCCGGATGTTTCCATTATCCATGCAGTCTGTCTCATTTTACTTTTTTAGGAGTACTGCGGGGGAGTAAATTCTACAGAACGAAATCATCCCGCATCACCACTGTGCCGACTGGCTTACTTAGACACTCATAGCAGCTCAAAGCCTGAAACTACTTACCGAATTTCTCGTAGAACAACTTCGATTGGACAATCTATTGCAGATTTTTGTTGGTGACAGAATACCAACTCCGCAGCTCTCTACAAAAGAAACAGTGTTATGAATAGGTGAATTGTTCATCAACGATCAACTACTCTGATCCTACGGCATTGACACGATAAAAGTCTCGTTATCACTTTATGAGACGTTACGTGAAACCTCCTGAATCACAAGTCTGGGTCACACAAGTTCAAATTACGTGCACATGGATAAAGGAGTACGAATTTTGGAATGCAGTTTGTCGTTAAATTCTCTACACAAGTCCCCCCGTCTGAACACTCTTTGAAATGTGTGCAACACTGAAAAATGAAGACTTTCAATCTGCATTTTTGTTTGCTATGCCACATTCCTTATAGAACGGTGGATGAGTAATGGTAAAATTCTACCCTTCCCCTAACTAGCCGCCATCCACCACCTGAACCCAAACCCTGGATGTGTCCTGGGTTTGTCTGTGTGGTTCCGGAGAGGGAAACTACCGCTGCCACCTGACTCCTTAACAAGTGAAGCTTTCTGGACACCGAAGAACAGGATCAGCTAGGGTTTCATTTGACAGTCCTGTAATCAGTTGACGTTTGGTGTGTCTCTGGTTTACCAATCTCCAAATCTTTTAGAAGGCAGTGGCGATTCATGGTTGCGGACAGCATGTTGAGTGTTCATGTGGCACTGAATAACACGAAATTTCGTTACGCGTTGCAATTATTCTTTACTGTGAGGTCAAAAAAATCAGGGGACTAAGGACACTCATAAGGTACCTAAAATCAAGCGAAAGGCATACACAAGTCCTTGCGGAGAGCATCTCGATCCATGTGGTCAAGACCAACATCGGTAAGTTCAAAGAGCAATGGGAAACAGTGTGAACCTTAATGGGAGTGAAGATTGCAGTAGATACTAACGGCATCATTTAAATATATGGTTAAGGTCGTCCTATAGTTTTATCAAAAACGTCTTCCTCGCTCTGTTTGTTATGTACGATATATCCGTTATTTCAGCTGCCGAATATTTGTAGGTATTTTTGTGAGCAAAGCTCTGCAAGTAGTTAGTAACTTCTGCAGGCCTTTAAAGATCACTTGTAAAGACGCATTTTAACCAAATAGAAGTTATTATTTCGGTTATTTAGACACTACTAGAAAGAGTGTAGTNTAGTATAAACAATTGTCAACGAATTGTTTTAAAGACCTGGTTCTGTTAGACCGAAAACCGAGTTGACACCACTTCCCAGCTGGAAGCGCAAAATTTACTAGTTCTCCATACAGTTGAACAACGTAAAAATCTCCGGAGAAGGGGGCCCTATTACCGGAAAGTGTATTATTTCTCCAAAACTGATCATTTACATTGGAATTAACGAGTGGTACATGAAACTCAGAAAGGGAAGAACAAAGTTCTATCTGCAATTCTGAAGCTGTCATCCTGATCGCAGTTGTATGCTAAATTTGAACTCAGATTGTACATGAGACCTCTCATTCAAAGTCTCTGAACTGGTTATGATCTGAATGGTTGGACATCCCAGCACCTCTAAGAGAGGTCCAATAAAGTGCTTTCTTGGTGATGAGCGAGTAAACCAGTTTACATAATTTTTCTCTCTCATTTTTAGCCGTATTTTTTCCAAAGAGGCGCCTCCAAGTACAACTGTTCACACGCTGGTTTGTAGAAATTTATTTCCGTGATGAATCCAACGCAGCTCCTTAAATCCTACCTTGTGATTTCAAAAATATTCCCTACCTTTAAATCAATGGTGTTGATAAACTAAGTACAAGTTTGTGCCTCGGAAACGTTTGAGAAATCTGGTTTTCGTTGACCAACGTCACAGTGTGGTGAATGATTTATTATGATTGCGACAAATTTCGGACAAGGCATTGGGTTGCAAAATAGCGAAGTAATGCGCAAACTTGGGAACTTTGAAAAGTAGTTTCCTAGGGCAAATACAGGAGTCCGGTAATCGAAGTGCTTCTCATCCTACGCCAAATAATCTAGAACTCTTCTTAGAAAAAACACGTTGTTTGACCCTAACCAAACTGTAGCTTGCCAGCAGCTTTCGAAGAACGTCCGAAATAGAAGTATGTTTGTTGGCAGTCTTATCGAACAGTAAACGGAGGCGATGTATAACTGTTTTGCGCCCGCCGATTGTCGAGTGCAAAGAGTTAAGTACGACTGTCATTTAGAGACCAATGAGTTGTATCCCAATATGTAAATCAATACACCGGTTTTACGCTTGCAAAAGAATATCTTACTATCTAGATATATTCATATGGTGGTCCCGCATTAGTCGTTTTAGCCCAAAATTCGGGCATGAGTTATTACGTAATACGTTTCTGTGTCAGATGCTAAAATTTGTTCTTCTAAAACTGTATTTTAGAATATTTGGCAACTCAGCTTGTAGTTGGCTACGACAAAAATGAATATTTATTAAATAGCAAATGACTGATTGTTTTAAATACAGAAGATTAAAGGACAGCGCGTAAAGTTGTAATATTAACACAAACAACTCTGAAGGTATTATGGATCCGACACCTACGAAATTATAAGACTGCTTGGTGAGTGAATCGACTTACGCATGCAGGAAAAAATACTTTTGCTGCATTCTTCACTTGCAGATGTAGATCGCTTTTTGATATCAAGGAGCCCAGCAGTAGGGATACTTCGTTTATCTAAAAGCATACAAATTATTCATGTGTGAATACTTTTGCAGTAAAGCACCAAAGTGAAATACGGCTAATTACAGGATTTCAAGCATTTGGAATTTGCCACAAGTACTGTGATTACGCATGAGATATGCTGGGCTTGACATTTATTTCTACTGTAAACCAAGGCAACTGGACCACTAAGCTAACCCCTTCGGCTTACAATGTGTAATTGTGAAGAATATGCTAACAAAAACTAATGATAGCTGAACCTGCCTTGAGGCAAAGATTATAGGCAAAATAGCATTCCGTCCTTAGGATTGATTGTGCCTTAATTATTCATATGTCAAAAGCAAAGATCTAAGCAAATACAAGGATGTAGTTAGTTACTCTGTGTGCACTACTCAGGAAGCCATTAGCTTTAAGCTATCCATAAATGTGTGTAGCCGGTCTATTATTTCTCATCAGTACGTGAATTAATCTCAGATACTTCCACTGTGTGGCATTCACTTAAAGCACCTCGATTATCTCGGGCGAATCATACACGTTTCACCGGAAGATCGCCTTCATTCTGGCGTTCAGGAGGAAGACTAAGCCAAGAAGTCAAAGCAAGATACTGTAAACCTTGGAGAAGAAAATCCTTCGCTGTAGTTATCTCTTGAAATGAAAGTCTAAGGAGAATGGTGCTTATCAGATTTCCCGTGGTGTTCCAGTAAAAGTCAGGTAGAACCACTTAGCTGCATAATCATGGCCCCGGTTTGCGACTGATTTTATCGCAACCAGTACAATTAATAATATTACCATGACAACGCCATGATCTATCGTACGAAGATAACTACTTACAGCAAAGAGGATAGGAGGACTATCAGTTACATGGGTAGGTACTCTGAATATTTTTGTAGACAGTGAAATGTTGACCGGATCCGGAAAATTTTACTCATCCCTCCAATTCAACAGCTAAATCTAGAAAGGTATGTATAATAAGATGTGTATCTTTAACAGAATACGTACGACATGGGAATAACTTTCACGATTTCATTTTATTGTGCTTATTAGTGCGGTGTCAGTTAACTCTAGCTTATGAGTTATCGAATCCAGGACACGCATATTGTGTTACACAAACCTATCCGTTCGACCACTCAATCCTTTAAATAAGTGCTCAAGCCTTATTATGTGAGATAAGTTATAAAGACCTCACAAGTAAATTTTTCGCACAAGATTTGTTGGAAGACTTCGTCTGCCACACTTTATTTGATAAGCCATCAAGACCTATGTGATAAAGCTCTCATATATATTCTCATTGATCATAAGACAGCATTTTGGCTTGTCAGGTAGATTGTTTCATCCGTGGATACTTGCCATCAACCATCTGAGAGGTTGCACTCTGGATGCAAAAGTATACTAGCCTGTATTACTTATTTTCATCAGGTCTAGGAAGTTGCTTAACAGCTAGTTTGAAAATTCACAACTCCCTTTGAATATTTTTACCAACAAGAAAAAGTTTACTGTAAAAAATGCTCGCAATGAAGCATCGAAGCATTCAGCGTTTCACTCTGAATGCGGCTCTCCAGTAGAGTGCAGAAGGACTACCTGATGCTCGCTTTCGGTCTGCGTCCTACTGATCAACTGAAATAAGACAACTATCCTCAGGAATCCAGAGTTTACCGCTGCTAATTACTCTATTTCCAAATATTCTCTCCCACCAAATAACTACCCCGATTCATACTATCAGAAATCATACTAATTCAAATTAAACCAGTGTACTTGTGACGAAGTGTCCAAGAAAATTGCATGTTTCCATGCAAGAAAGTGTCTAATAACAAGCTTGCCGGCTAAGGCGCAACCTTTATCATCATCATTACCAGCTGTAATAACCGCG